GTTTGATTTGTGTTGAATATGGCAACTTTTAACTTGACAGTACACTTACCTACGATAAGTAGAAAGTTTTTATGTAAAAATAAAGCGACAAGTATTCTTGTAATATAACTAAATTAAAATGCCCCATTTTTGAGTCTTATCAGGAGTATGGTTCCACCCACACCCGGCACCCTTTTTGCTTTCCTGATCGTGAATTTTCTTGCTTCCCTTCTCAATGTTCCTAGTCCTACTCCCCCACTCTAATTTTATATATATATATATATATATATATATATATATATATATATATATATATATTATTTGGTTTATTCCACCCACACCCGGCACCCTTTTTGCTTTCCTGATCGTGAATTTTCTTGCTTCCCTTCTCAATGTTCCTAGTCCTACTCCCCCACTCTAATTTTTTTTTTTTATATATATATATATATATATATATATATATTATTTGGTTTATTCTTTTCATGTTTTGTCAAGTTTTCCTTTGTATTATGTTAAACCTTGTTAAAAATCTTTCATGACCCTTCAAAACTTGAACCTCCAAATCCTCCCTACCATTCCATATAAATTAATATATATATATATATATATGTGTGTGTGTGTGTGAACCAGAGAGGAGAAGCTTGTTTAGATGGACATTGGATTAAGAATAGATCTAATTACTGTAATATTATGTTTGGAAGTGTCTTGCATTTGGATTGAAATTGAAGGAATTAAGTTAAAATTTTGTACTAACTTTTTTTTTTTCAATCCCAAATAATTAGATATATCTAATTACTTTATTATCCCTCACCTTTTTTTATTATTAATTTTTTTTTCTTAATTGGTAAGACACACGCATGCCTCCACTTAGACTCGAACCCCTGACCTCACAGGTATTTCATTGGTAAGACACAGGTATTTCATATGCGAGATGATTCGTCATGCTAAAGTTTTCAAGAAATGTGACTGGCCTAGTGGTGTTATCCCTCACCTTTTTAATACTATTCTGACTTGCCTCTAATTCTCTCCATATTCTTTAATTTTCAATCCTGTTAAATCTTAATTTTGTTTTTTTTGGAAAATCGTTAAATCTTAATTTTGTTAAACCTGAGAGTGAAGTCAGTGTGTATTAATCAGTAAGTGATAAAAGAGCTTTCAAAAAGGAGAAGAATGATTGTCTTTGTTTATTAACAAACTTGAATGCAACACGTCTTTACAGAAATTAAAAATAAATCACTCCTACATTCCTGCATTTAAAAACAAAAAAAAAATAGAAGGGGGGCGCGGGGACACGATAAAATAATAATAAAAAAAGGCAAAAAATATTATTAAATAAACGCTTACCAGAAAAAATATTATTACATGGCCAGATAAAAAATAAATATAAGACAATGAATAATCTTTAATTATCTTAAGCAAAGAAATTATAACAAATATTTCTTTTTGAAGCAAATAGTAATTATCTCGGTTTTCAGAAATAATTTTTTTTTTTTTTTTTATATAAAAAAATTACTCTATATTATTTGGTTTTTTCTTTTCATGTTTTGTGAAGTTTTCCTTTGTATTCTTTATACTTTTTGAATTAAACCTTGTTGGAAACCTATAATAGGGTTTCAAAAACTAGAAAACACAAGAGTTAAAGAAAAGACCTAGCGCAACATTCTCTCATGACCGTCAAACCAACAATAAACATGCAATGCTTTATTATTATTATTATGGTGAGAATAGATTATCTTCATTTACACAAATGAGAAAATAATAATGAGATTAAGTCATGACCAAGCTTGTCTAGATGGTTATTGGATTAAGAATATATTTAATTATTGTAATGTTATGTATCGGGGCACCGAATTGGTAGGGGTGCACACGGTACAATTTCGTTAGGAACCGGATCCAACAATTCTTTAAAAATGAAACCGGAACTTCGGTTCGATTCCACGGCTCCCACCTTAACAGCCAAGAACATCTTGCAGTAATCACATTAAAACGTATCATTTGCAAGGCCTACGAAGTGCCATGCTTAGGTGCCTTAAATTTCAAGCAGCACCTAAAAGATCAAAAGCACAAAGCTAAACCGCAACAGTTGCAACTAAGTAGAGAAGATAACAAGGAGAGAAAAGATCAATGACCATGGTGTGAACCGTGTCAAATTTGGTGCATAGATGAGGATTTGATGAAGATGCACCTAAAAGGTCAAAAACACCAGGCTAAACTACGAGAGTTGGAAACTCATAAGAAAAACGGTGGAGATCATCAGGCTAAACTACGAGAGAAGGGGAGGCGGAGTTTGAGAGGTTAGGTTTATTGGTTTAGGTTTTAACTGAGGAGAGGCAAATATAATAAATATAATAAGGGAAAAAATCACATAACCCCCATATATTATCATTTTCGTTTTAAAACCCCCCATTAAAATTAAACACTCCTGAACTAAAGAAATACTATCAAGTTACTACATATCCGTGACTAGGGCTGCAACTCGGGCTGGGCCAAGCTGAATTTACCCAAGCCCAGCCCGAAATTTTCAGGGCTTGGGCAATGTTTTTCTGTTTTAGGTCTGGGCTTGGACTAGATATTCTAAGCCCGAATTAAATTCGGGCTGGGCTTGGGTTGATATTATATAAAGCCCGAAGCTCAACCCGAACCCAGAAAGGGTATATTTATTTTAAAATTATGTTATTTCACAAGTGTATAATAACTTAGTTGGTAGTATATTTAGGATTTTTCTTACCGAGCACTTTATTAAGGTGTGAAATGACGAAATTAACCTTATAATTTAATATTAAATTTAAAACTGATAATTATAATTTTTAGGGAAAATTACATATAAATGGAGTCAAAGTTCCATATTTACTTAGAGGCTGAGTCAAAGTTCCATATTTCTCTAAAATGGATTGCTGAGGTGGCACATGGTTTTTTACTGTTTAGAAATTGTGGTGCCTAAAATACCCTTCCGTGAAGGTACTACTTTTTCTTCGAAGGTACTACTTTGTTTAACTGAAGGTACTACTTTTTGGCGTTTACGTACCATGTTTTTAAAACACCCGCGAATGTACTACTTTTTCTTCAAAGATACTACTTTTTTGAACTGAAGGTACTACTTTTTTGAACTGAAGGTATTACTTTTTTGTTAGGGAAGGGCATTTTAGGCACCACAATTTTTTAAACTGTAAAAAATTATATGCCACCTCAACAATCCATTTTAGAAAAATATGAAACTTTGACTCAATCTCTAAGTAAATATGGAACTTTCACTCCATTCATATGTAATTTTCCCTAATTTTTACCTCCACCACAGGCGACCCTCTTCTCCAAACTCTTTATCGGTACTCTCTCTCTCTCTCACACTCTCTCTCTATATATATATATTGTATCTGATGTTCTATATATTAATACATACACATATTATATATATTATATACACACACATAATTATATTGTATCAGGCTCTTCTCCAAACTCTTTATCGGTACTCTCTCTCTCTCTCTATATATATTGTATCTGATGTTCTATATATTAATACATACACATATTATATATATTATATACATACACATAATTATATTGTATCAGGAGACAGGAGTGCTTGGTTTCTGAGAATCAGTGCAAGAATGAAACTTTACTTCCTGTCTCCTACGGGTCTGGATACTATGTTCTGGGAAAGTAGGCTCTCAGTTCCCTTCCCCCAATTAGAATCTGACTTCACACTTTGCTGAGTGACTGCGGCTTCGGATGTGGATGGTGATGCCTTCCCCTACGACGAGTCAGAATTTCTTCGATAGCTGGGACATATTCTACTTCTACACAAGCATCCTCTCAACAGCTTCATTCGGCCGAGCTCTCTTCAATTGCTTGCTTCATCAAGCCAAGCGCCTTACCCAAGTTAAATTATTTATGGTGATCACGTGCTGAAAATGGAGGAGAAAATGAGATACAGGAAGGAGGGTTGGACAGGCTAGCGCTATGGAAGATGGAATGGTTTGATTCCCAAGGTCAGTAGTGGTGTGAAAGGACAGATCTACCAAAGGATGGTTTTGTACTTGTGAAATGATCAATCAGAGGAGAGAGAGCACCGATCTGAAAAGGGTGAGTTGAGTTGGATTTAATACAAAATGGGAAAGCAAATTGGAGTGGGAAGTGACCGTTTGAACAGAAATTGCATCAACTTAACAAGAAAAAAAAAAATGATTGCTCTGTTTCTCTGATGGGTCTGGTTTTAGAGAGAGAAAGGTACAGAGAGAGAGAGGGGAGAAGAGGAAGAAAGGCAGAAATTGCAGCAAATGGGTCCCGGAAGGAACTGGGTTGACTCAGAGTGTGAGAGGAAGAAGACCCACTTAGTTCAGGGTGCTTAATTTTAGTTGGAGTTTTTTCTGCGAAAATAATAAACGAGGCAGGATTATGTGATTTTTTTCCATATAATAATATACTAGTTTATGACACGAGTAATGACACACTTAACACTATGGACTTGACAGTATAGTACTATAGTTACTAATTATCAATATTATACAATTAAATATAAATATATAATATAATCAAATATATATATATATACGGTTTGATTCCCACATGCTTAGAATCGGAACCAAATCTTAAATTAAAGGTTTCTAATTTTTGGAATCGAGACCAGAATCGAAGCCCCCATTCTGTTCGGTTTCACAGTTTTTTGGTACACTTTTACGAATCGGTGTCTTAGATTTGGAATTGAAGAAATTTAGTTAAAATTTTGTACTAATTTTTTTTTTTCAATTCCAAATTTAAAAGGCCGATTCAATGTCGCCAACCATAGCATAAAAATCACCTTACGAAACATGTCTTATGTAAAAATAAATAATAAAAAAGACAGATTCAGCAAAACAATAATAATAAAAAAAATCTATAAATTCGAAACAAAACAGTGGTCTTATTATTTTGAAAAAGTTGCATAAATAAGTTTTTTTAAAGAAATTAATTATTATTATTAGCAAGAAATTCGCTTAAAGAAACTCTAATTCTCACCTTCCATATTGAGAAGAGGAGGAAAATACTACTTAAGTGATTTTTTTAAAAATAACTTAAAAAAAAAATTGTATTTTTTCCCTGTTTTTTTTTTTTTTCTTATTTATTTAATGTTTTGGTGACGTTTTAGAAGAAGACTGATTTCAGGATTGTTGTGAGCGAGAGACACATACACACAAACGCACACAGATGTTGGACACACGCACACACACATGTTGTATGCAAAGAAACAGTTGGTTTGGTGGTGAGGGCTTATATAGAGGTCCGCTTAATATGGGAGTGCTAAATCTGGCAAGTGGCAGGTGCAAAAATGTTGAGGGCAAGGTCGTCGTCGAACCGAGAGACTCCAACGACGCCGAAGCCGACGACGACGACGACAACGACAACGACGAGGATTGTTGGCATGGGCGTTGGAGGCTTACTGTCGTCGTCAATGGCGGCGTCCCTCACTCGCTCCGCCTTCCGCATCTCTCTCTTGCTTCTCCTCCTCGCCGCCATCGCCGTCGCTTGCATTTCTTTCCCCGTCCAAAAGGTCTCCTATCTATCTTTCTCAATCGATACGTATATATAAATGTATATGTATTAAATATTTGGCAGAATCTTTTATTCTTTTTTCGGTCGGATGGTATGAATCTTCTTATTTATGATTGTTCTACATTGATATTTGTTTTTATCTAGATATGTGGTTTAGAATTTATGGTGTGGAGTAAAATAAAAATAAAAATCGAAAGGTTCCGTTCTCACTTTCTTGGTTGTTACTATTCTAGTTTTATTTATTTTTCCAGTATCAAGCGTTGGACTTTAGTTTTTGGTCATTAAAATAGGAATTTCTTTTGGTTTATAGTGGAATTTTTTTTGAAACCCCAAAGATTTGGATCTTGAGAGCGCAATTACATACTAGAAAAAATATTTATGGTAAAAACGATAAAATATCTATTTGGAGGTACAACAAAGAAACATAAAAACTGCTAATCACCTACATAAGAACAAGCTAAAACTCAGTGGCCTGGGCCACTTGAACAGATTTTATTGGAAGCAATCATATAAATTCCATTTAGAACCATCACTCAAAATGAGATACTAAACTTCGAATTTATGAGTTTCTTATTTTGCCGTCACTGTATAATAGTAGAGTGGCACTATTCCATTGAATTATTCCTCCAAACCACAGTAATCTGAAAACAGAGCAATGACTTCTCAACTCTCTAGGAAAAATGCAGTGGCACTTGCCATCTGACAAGGGAAAGTTAAATGAACGGTGGTGGAGGAACAAATGATTACCATTTTTTATTTCTTGCTTTCTAATTTGCACCTAATGGAAATTATAAGAGATATAGATGCTTTCATTCTTCTTCATAATTTACTCGGAGCAGCTGCCTCCACTTCATTATCAAATATTTTGTTTGCTAAAAGAGTTGTTGCTGCAGATATTGAAAGATTTCTTGCTATGGGTTAGGCGGGATCTTGGACCTTGGGGTCCATTTGTACTGTAAGTCCTCACTGATGCCCAAATATGTCCAACTATTTCTATTTGTTTTGCAGTAAATATCCGTGCAGTGAGTTTGATACTCATTTTACAGGAGTTCATAATTTCATATTGATTGAGATGAAGGTAAAAGGATTGACAATCTAATTGCAATTAGTGAAGGTTTCTAATATCAATAAATTGCATTTTTAGAAATCTAGAGCATTTTTAGAAATCTAGATATATTGATTTATATTGATATTGCTTTGAAAATATCGCATGAATGATAGAGAATGATAAATTATCATGAAAAAGAAGATAAAAGTAGATATATTGAGGTAATGGAAGTATGGATACATCGGCCAATATGTTGCAAATATCATGGATTTTCTATTCCATAATTAATTCATGTGGGGGATAGCTCTTAATAGTTCAATAATGGCCTGGTTTACATTGATATTACTTTAAATTTGTATTTAAAGAAAATATAATTATCATAGTTAGAGCTTGTGAACCCCAATTAAGATTAGTAGAACAAATTAAGTACAATTTTGAAAACATATGTATGAATTGATTAATAAATACCAATAGGCCTGTGGCCTAGCGGTACTAGGCCCCTACTTCCCAAAGGGAGGTCAGGGGTTCGAACCTCAGTGGAGGCACGTGTGTGTGATTACCAATTAGGGAAAAAAAAAAAAAATTTGATTAATAAATACTGTTAAGAGTGTTTTTTTTTTTTAGGTCATCCTAAACTTTTCAGTGGCAAATAATTTTTATGATACCAGATACATATTATTAAAAACAAATGAATATTTACTATCACTTAAAACCGAATGATTTTTATTATTTTATTTTTTTCTAACTAGAAAAGTTCATAAAGTTAACATAAAAATATTGTAAGGTCATTGCCGCCGCCGGGGGGGGGGGGGGTGGTGTTTGCTTATTAATGAGACTAGTGGAAATTTGTACCACGGGGGGGGGGCGGGGGGGGGGGGGGGGGGGGTGGTGTTTGCTTATTAATGAGACTAGTGGAAATTTGTACCACGTAGATGAAAAATGTTCATATATCTTTTTACAGATTGAGATAATACTCATAATAGTGTATTTTACAGATATAATTTGGTGGGTTTTCTGAAGGAAATAAGTCATAAGTAGATGTATTCTCATGGTAAAGGGAATTTACTATAGGGTTGTGACTATAGTAAAAACTATTGCATAAAAAGCAAATTATTTGCAATTACTAACTCATACATCAAGGATTAGCATCAAGCTCATAGCATTTTGCTTTAGTTATGTATGAACTAGTTAGATGCATTTAGGATGAATTCTTGTGGTGTATTTTATTTGATGATAGCATTTTTTAATTTATGGAACTAAATCATGATTAAATAAGAAGACAGCAACTTAGGATGAAGGTTTGGGAGAAGTTTTAGAAGTAAAAGATTTAAGATAAGTAAGCCGACAACTTAGTATATGAAATGTATTTCAAACAAATTTAACAACACAAATGTGGTTATAGTGAAAATTGTTGATCAAGAGATACGATGTAGTGGTACTTTTGTTATTAAGTTAGATAGGTATTTATGAGAGAGTAGAGATTGGAGATAATTTTGCTCATAGAATTATACAAGGAAAGACATGATAGTGTGTGCTTATGAAGCTCACCCTTGATATAGTGGAATGGTGGCACAATTATTTTTTAACTCGTGGTAAGTGTTGCTTTAATTGGTATATACTCATTTAAAGAGCCGAGATGTAAGTTGTAGTGATCCTCGTTGTGCTTCTCTGCCCCACCCCCTCTATTAGTAAATTCTCGACATCAAGGCTACTGAATAAGAAACAAAATCAATTAATGGGTGCTGAAGTTTGGGCTTACCTTTGATTTATTTTTTATATAAAGAATAAGGGCTCAATCTTGAAAAGTAGAAATATAGGGTAATTGATAGTGACTAGCTTTATATTGATGCTCTAATTATAGTGGATGTAAAAAAGTTCGTTTTGTCTTTTAGTGCTAAAAAAAATCAAGAATAGAATAGGATTCTCGAACTAGGGTCTAGGAGTACTGTTTCACTGTCTAGGAAAATTGTTGTTCACAGCTGTAGCCTCAAAACCTTCGAGTGATCCTCTTAAACTTTGGAGCACTTATATTTGAGAACATTGTAAATAACTAAAAAAGTTAAGGAATAAATATGTATTGTTAAAACAAGAAATTAGTATCTAGTGATCAATAAAATGAAGTAACGATGAATTTGCCCCCCCTAGCTTTAAGGATTAAAACTGCCTCAAAAAGGTACAGAATGAGTTTTGTGGAATAAAATGTATCATCATGAAGTTTTCTGCTGGCTGCTCAGTTGATAGTTTTGGACTTCATTTCAAACATATGATTTCTAATCCCTCAAGGCTAACACAGGACTAACACGGGACTAAAATGGGACTAAATTCTGGCCAAGTTAGATCCACATCCCCAAGATGAACTGTGAATACAAATAAATATGATTGGCACCCTTCTCCCCTTCCCCGTGGAGAAAATGGCCAATACTTGTAGTTATTAAAAGGACTGCAAAATTTCACCGAAATCATATATATTTTCTTTTTCCAAAAATGAAATCAATTGTTGATATAATAGAATCTAATAGTTTTATAAGATCATTATTCTGTTTTTTCGTTGAACTGTGAGGCAGCATTGCACTTGGATTTGGGTGCCTGAATATTTTCACTTCAACTTGTGATTTAATTTTTAAAGTGTACTTTTTGCAATTTTCAGGGCTTTTGCATATATCCCTCTTACTGTCCTGGCAGTTCCGGCCTCAGTACTTACGGTAGGCATTGAACTTTAATTTAGCAAGCAAGCTCCCTTCTGTTAGTCTATGTGGGTTGTCTGTTTATATTATTCATGACAAAGGTTTACGCTGTCAAGCTACCTAACACAACCCTCCTTTATCTGGGCTTGGGATAGGCTGTGTAATGAAACATGGGCGGAGTTTCTATGTGGACCATCTATGTTGTTTAGATAATGGGAACTTACAGATATCAGGACTTGTGCTGCACTAAACAAATTGATGGATCATGCACTTATATGGGAGTTTGACAACTGTGGCTATCTTGTTTTAAAGCAAAAATTATATGTTTCACTCTAAAGTAACCAAAATTTTCAAGTTGGGTTAAAAGTAATTTTTCTTTTTACTTGTCTTTCACTGATGAATGGAGATTATGTGGTTCTTGTACTTCTTAATGTTGCAGCTTGGATGTGGTTATCTATTTGGGTTGCCAGTGGGGTTCATTGTTGATTCTGTTGGCGCTACCATGGGTGCCACAGCTGCATTCATTCTCGGTAGGACAGTAAGTGTCTTGAATGTGACTAAAACCTATCTTTTGATGAGCGCTTGTCTGCATGCATGATTTATGAAGAGGAGGATGTTCCGATCCTTACTTTCTTAGCGACATTTTTTTTTGGATTTGCATTCTCCATGAATTGGATGTTTATATGGATTTATTCTCATGCTTTTGGATATCTATTTATACATATTTTTGCTTCTTCTCTGCAGATGGGGAGATCATATGTGATTTCTAAGTTAAAGAATTATCCAAAGTTTCAGGCTGTTGCTATCGCAATTCGCAGATCGGGCTTTAAGGTTTGAATATTTTAAAGTTTTTCAAGCATCTCTGGAAGTGAGGCACATGCTTACTATTATTCGTACATTTTTTCATTATGCGTCCTATTTTTGTCCTTTCGAGAAGAAAATGGTTCTATTTGGATGTTATCCATTTTTAACAATAGCAAATAGTGTAATAGGAATTTTGAGTTATTGGCCAAGCTGTTGAATAATACTGGAGAATCTCAATTATAAAAGTTCCAATGGCTTATAAGAAAGGTTTTGATTTTATAATGCTGATATTGGCTTCTTTCATGTTTTATTCTTCGTTCTGCAGTCCTGTTTGCTGAGGATGAGATTTTGGTTCCAGTTAACCTACTGAAATATATAATTTTGTCAATTGCAAGTTGAGTGATTGTTGGTTTAGCTAGTGTTAGCAACATGACCGGTCTAATGCTACCACTTACCAAAACAAAGGGTCCATTGCTGGTCTTATTAGTAGGATGTAGTTAATGCATCAGCTAGACAGCTAAGAAGATATGTGTGAGTCATCTTGCCTGGCTTCTTGCATTAGTCCCCAAACAACAAATCTGACTTCAGTGAGCGGTAGCCAATGCTTATGCATCCAAGCATTAAAGTGGCATGTGCTTGTTTAAATGTGTTATTTGGCTGCTCAGGTTCCTAAGCCTCTGAAAGGTCCTCTGCACGTCGATGAACAATTCGATCCATGAGTTAACAGCAACCAAATTGTGTTAGCCATGGATCTATGTATTATGAGAGTGGACAACTCTTTTTTTTTTTTCTATCCCAATATTTTGGTGTTACATACTAATGTATTATTATTCTAGATATTTTTCTTTTGATAAGTAAGAATTGTATAAAAAGCACTCAAAAGGGGAGCGCATCCCAAAGGAACAACAAAAGGCAAAAAAACCTCTAAGCCTTCAAAGAGGCCAAAAAAACGACAATGTCCTCAATGGATCTATAATCTCTACCCGAAACCCAACAAAAAAGAGTGGAAACAATGGAGAACTTAAGAAAAGAATTAGGCAACTCCTTTTCATCAAAGTATCTCCTATTCCTCTCGAGCCAAATGCACCACCAAATACAAAGAGGCGTAGCCCTCCAAGCATCCCCGTATTATTATTCTAGATATGCGTCAATCTCTTTGTAGAATTATTATAAATAAAATTATCCAAGAAATGTACAAGGATATGAGAACTGTAGGATGTACGTATGTGGAAAATCTAATGTTTTCTAATAAAAGTCGGTTTAAACCAAGGATCCCTTTGGTTTTCAATAGTTTTTGATGAAACAGCGGATTTTATATACTTCTAAGGAAAACTAGCAATAAAATGAATATATTGAGAAACACATTAAAGCCAAAAGGTCGAGAAATGTGCAGAATTAAAAATAATATATGGATTGTAAACAAAGAGGCATTTAATAACAATGTAATGATAACAATTTAGGACCAAAGGATTACTCAAGGTATATGTATTTTATTCTAACACAAACCATAGATTGATAAAGGACAATGCAACAATTAGGATTGGAGCAGTTTGCGAAAAACATAGATAATGTGACACAAGACTATCAAATAAGTTAAAAGGAAAATTCTATATGATGGTCACTAGACCAACCATATGTTAGTATTGGAAAAGAAATAAGAACAACGCATCTATGCAGTCAAAATGAGAATGTTGAGATAAATGATAGGAGTAACTTTGAGGAGATAGGATTTATAATTGGTGATGGGAGTGGAGTGATACATGATAGTGATATATATATATATATATATATATATATATATATATATATCAGACCATCAAAAGTGTTTTTCAGTTTCTCAAAAGGGGGGGAAAAAGCAACAAGGCAAGGAATTGTTGTCACAGACAGACTGACTAGATGTATGACTGGGAATAGGAAAGGAAGACTTTATAAATAAAAGTAAGAGGTCAAAGGGTCGATCAAAACTAACAACAAATCTTCAGAAATTAGATATAATAGGGGTAGCTTGTATTAGGGGTATACTCGGATTAAGGCAAGGATGATGATGATGATACTAAAGTATCTTTCTTTGGTTGGAAGTTAAATAATTATGGGTTTATTTAGCATTAGTGATGGGTTGGCTTAATGCTACCAAAACCAACCATACCCATCTTATGATATACTGTAGTTAATGTATCACCCTAGGTTGTCCGTGTTTGCCTGCTGGCTCACTTACTACTTACAAAGCCCAATGGAGATTTTGGGAGTTCCGGGTACGCATTGGAATGCTTATTCATTCAAGTGGTTAAGTTACATGCACTTGCCTTTGTGTTCTATTTCACAGCATAGATCCCTAGCATCAGCAACCAGATATTTTAAGCCACAAATCTATTTAATGTGAGAGTAGATAATTCTTGATCTTGTGGTTCTAAAGAATTTTTTTAACATCTAGCTATAAACATATATTTTTTTTGCTTATATTTTGTTCATGTACTAACCTATTTTATATTTTTTCCCGATATATAGTAGGACTGGAGATGAGATTTCTACTACATGATTTAAGATATATCAATAGTCTAGTCTAGTCTCTTGATTTTTTCTTTTATATATTATTTAAAATTTTAATGTAGTTCACATATAAAGGTTATTTATGTTGTCTTGACAGTTGAGTCGTTGACACTGCCAGTCAAGACATTCCAATACCTGATATGATCTTAAGAAGTGTTTGGAGATATTTAAATATACTTATCAAAAAAAAAAAAAAAAGATATTTAAATATAAAATCACTAAATAAAGGCCTTATAATAAAGGTAAAATTGATGTTGATTTTGTCAGCCTTACATGTTTAAGGTTTGCTTCCTGCTTTGGTTCAGAATTGGATGTGTCCTGCATCTGGTTCGTGTACGCGCTTTGAAATCTACAATTGTAGATGGTACTTGAATGTTGTATGCAAATCGTTCAACAAATATGTAGTTCCAAACTCTAAATGTTGGATGAAAAATTAATTTTTATATATTTCCTCTGACCTTTTCTAATGTAGATTTTAAGTTTTCCTTTCTCTTTCTTACAAAATTGCTAATTATTCCACATACCTATAATAAAAGAGAGGGTTCATAATTTGTGGTTCTAACTTCCTTGGACCATTCTGTCATTCCAAATTTCATCTACAGCTGGCTAGAATCACTATTTTTGTGATTGAAGTAGCTAAGTATTTGCTAGCTGGACCGAGTTCTAAATTAGTAGCATTACTTTGTATAAGCAACTCATGCAATTAAGGTTGTAATTATGATAATTTAAGCACCATGAACATGAATAAGACATCATGCTTTATCTTCTATGTTATTTAAATTCAAAATTCTGTGTCAGTTTCTTCTATGACTCACTGGGTTATTAAATATATATATATTTTATTTTGATCTTTGATTATATGTGATTTTTGCTGTAAGATTTTTAGTTTTTTTTTTTTTTTTTTTTTTTTCCTGATCTTGCAGATTGTTTGGCTGCTTCGGCTTGTTCCCTTACTTCCATTTAACATGTTGAATTATCTACTATCTGTGACTCCTGTTCACCTAGGAGAGTACATGGTGGCTTCTTGGCTAGGAATGATGGTATTCTCTCTTTTTAATCATCCAGCATCTTGCGTATTAGGTATAATATATTATTTAATATACAGTCAGAATCTTTTAAACAGAAGTTGCAAATTTGTAATTTAAGATCGTTGTCATTAAGTTCTGTGGTTGATGTAACATTGGGTTTCTACAAGACAGTCTTGTTGCAAAATTCCAGCCTATCAGCTGTACGCGTTGGTTAGTACACGTGCTTTTAGATAGTTAGACATTCTATCCCGTCTTATTTTATCTTTTGCTGCCCATAAAGAGTCTTTGCATTTCACAAGTGGTGATGCTGAAGTTTCTAGGTCATCTCTGTGTTCTGGTCGTCAGAGTTGAATGTTTACACCTCAAGTAAACTAAATGTGTGATCTTATGGTTCCTAGGCTACTAGCTCTTATTTCACATGGCCATAATGGTCCTACTAAGTTTTTATTTCGGAACTCTGTCAGTTTAAACCAAAATTTAGACTAGAATGCTTCCATTTTTCTCCATCCATATTTCTTTGTCAACTCCCTGTTGGAATAGGTATGATGCAATGAAATGATCTAATAGCTGTCCAACACAATCTTTCTTTTCCTGTTAGTGAGGGTGTCTTGCTGTTCATCAATTAAGTTTGATGACTATTCTGTTTTGTAATTTTTTTTCCCCTTTTTCTTTGATTGATTTTACTCGAGCAAGTTAATGAATTCCTTTTCTGTTTATTGCTGCAGCCACTCACTTTCGCACTAGTATATGTAGGAACAACTCTGAAGGATCTCTCTGATGTCACAAATGGATTGAATGACGTCTCAAGAACTCGTTGGGTAAGAGCCATGCCTCCTATTATTTGATTAGCATTAAGCTGGTTGTTTTAGTTATTATCTTTTTATTTATTTATTTATTTTTTTGATAAGAAAGAATTCATTAGAAACCCTCAAAGGGGAGCGCAGCCCAAGAATAAAGGCAAGACCAAGGTGGTCTGCCTATATCTACTGATTTACAATACCAACCCTGTACCCCAAAAAATAAAGTATTAAAGAATAGAGAACTTAAGCACCCAAGCTGGAACCTCAATCCCATCAAAGGACCACTTATTCCGCTCATGCCACAATCCCTACCATAAACAAAGGGGCGCCACCCTCCAAGCATCACGAACATGCCTCCTCACTGCATATCCTCTCCAAGTTCCGTGGGAACTCCGAAATAACCCAACGGGACATCAAAATAGCAAAAAGCATAGCCCAACTGTCTCGAGCTACTGGCAATGCAAGAGAAGATGGCTAATAGGCTCTTCATCCCTCTTGTACATGCAACACCAATAACAATAACCTAACACCTCATTCTCAGGTTATCAATAGTCAGAATCCTCCCTAGGACCACTGTCCATCCAAATAAGGCTACCTTGAGCAGTGCCTTGGTGTTTTAGTTATATGACGATACAAAGAAGGTATACATGAAAAAAAAGAAAGAGAAAAATAAGTTACAAAGAAGGTCAATCACATTTAGAGTTTAAAGTTTATCAACTGTGTAGACTAGGTAGTATGTAGATAAGAATACACATAATAATATTTGCAGTTTTAAATTAAAATTTGATTCACTTGTGTTTAAGGTGGCAGTCTATGTCAGATAATATCTTCTTTTTGAAGCAATATTGCCTTGTCGGTGACAATGGGCTGCATGTATGGATGAAAGAACTTTGGAGTGACTCGATCTCCCCTCCATGAGTATCTCTATTGGAAGGTGGTGTTTGTAGCTTTTTTCTAATACAATACTAGTCCAACTCTAGAACAAACTATCGTGTGAGAGACTATTAGTTTCATTAGTCATCTCATCTTGTTTGTCCCACCAAGACATGTTGACGAAGAGTATTCAGTATGTGGTGAATTGAAAGTATAGGGGTTCTCTATTCTTTTTGTTAATAAGTACACTCCAAATGCTTTGAAACCTCATATCTAATTTCGTTTGCTAGCTCGGGGATTTTGAGGTAAATACCTGGAATTTTTTTAGCAACTATTGTAAATTGTGGGGGTCTGTCGAAGATTTTGTACTAGGATCTCCTTGAAACATGATTTCCACCTGATGAGCTCGTTATATTGTCATTGTTTCTCTTAGTTTTGGTATAGATCCATGCTATGTTGTAAAGTTAGCACCTTTTTTAAGACATTATCCATGTCGTATTTCCGAGTTAAAAAAGTAAAATAGGAAAGATTTGGATAAGTGGGTTGAAATATATTAAGATGGCATGAATTATGTGTTACGAAAAACATGGTGAACCCGAGAAACAATCAAGAAACACGACAGAAAAGTAAACACCCCACACACAAAGAACACAAAGATTTAGCGTGGTTCAGCAAAGACTACATCCACGGTGAAGATCCGACGAAAGTTCACACTATGCGAAAATCAGGAGATTACAAGTTTCAGCCCCAAACCTTAGCTCTCGCTCTCATTCTCTATCGGGCTACAAGAGAGTACTATAGGGTCCATGACTTGTAAGCAAAAAAAAAGGTAAAAATTCAACGAGACCCGGAACCAAATTCGGGCCACATCATCAAATTATGCATGGCGGAATATTGCAGCTTCAACTGGAGTGAAATTTTTGTAATATTGTGTTTGCTAAGTTGTTTTGAAACTCTCTTCTGGCCTCTCGACCTCTGTTGCTGGATGTGTTTGGCTGAACAATTCCGACAGGTTAGCTCGACTGCTCGAATACAATGTGATAATTTTATCTCAGCATATTCCACTAAAGTTGTATGGTCAAGGATGCAAAATATTCATGCCTGCTATTGCAGTCTGAGATGTCAGCATAAGCCATTAGGTATTATGGTTTGTGGATTTGCGAACCCATTTTTTGGACTGGTAAACAGTAGAAATGTCTACTGTGAGAATGTTGATTACTTTTTGTGCAGATAATGCTAATTGCTAAACTTGTACCTAGTCCATTCCTCCTAGTACCCTCAATTAAGGGGGTCTAACCTTGGGTAATCACCTTTTCTCACTAACATGAATTTAATGTGTTTGTTAGATGACGGACTTAATGTGTATGGTTTATTTATATATTGTTTATTGTGCTAGAAGAAATTCACAAGCTTGCATTATACTATATTAATCTACTCTTTGAACTTGTGTCTTTTTATGCTTATCAACTTCTATTTTGACTATTGTTTGTCGATGCAGATATTTATAGTACCGGGCTGCCTGGCATCTGGTAAGTCACATTTGATTGAACTATTTAGCCTTGTGTAGTTCTCTTGGGATGCGCTCCCCTTTTGAGTGCTTTTATACAATTTTACGTATAAAAAAAAGTCACATTTGATTGAACTTCCCTTTCTACTGCATCATTAAACTGTCATGGTTCTATGCATGTGGTTTGTGGGCGATTGTGTACACCCAGAGTCCTCAAATCATCTGAGAGTCCAAAGTGGCTAGCGGATGGGTTGATTCTTCGTCACCAAAGAAAAATTAATAATAATTATAGTCACGGTTCTTGCTGTTCCATCCTTTCAAATGATTTCGTGTTACGCTTGTTTGTTCTTTCTGTATATTTCATATCAGAGAAATAAAGATGGACCAAAAACCATGACTCCATCCCTAGAATGTAAGCTAAAAGCATGTATTTGAGGGAATGAACTTGATGATTTATTCTGTATTATTTATTGGTTGTGCCAGATATTGTCTTTTGAAAATTCTGTATTTAAAATAAAAGACACAAACTGAGAGAGTGGGTTTTGTAATCATACAAAACATGCGGATTCAACCGTTCAATACAAGGTTGGAGGTCAAAGAATTCCAGGCTTTAAAAGCTGAATGGTAGCTTCTGGAAATTTACTGGTAGACAAAATCAAACTAAGGGTTCAAGTCACCATAAGGGCATGAGTATAATAGGAGGAGGAATTCACTGATTGTTCTTTCTTTTTCATTCTTTGTTGGTTTGTGCATAGTGATTCTGATGGTGTATATCACTAAAGTAGCAAAGGCTTCTTTAGATAAAGCACTAGAGGAAAATGCTGACACAGAGGACATCACAACCTTGCCAGGGCTACAATGGCAAGGGCTACCCGTTGTAGCAGAGCCACTTTTTCCAGAAGCTTCTCATAATTAAGATAGCCCCATCTGGCACGATCATGTCACTTGAATGATATATGTAAGTTCTTTCTTTGCTTCCTATATATATATATATTTTTCCTAGTTGGTATTGACACACCCCCTCCAACGAATTGTTTACGCCTAACAGGAATCAATCCTGAGACGCGATGCTTCATAAGGCACCATGGCCCAAGTCTTTATCAACTAGGCCAACCCCTTGGGGTCTTTCTTTCTTTGCTTCATGGTTGTTTCTCAACCTGCATGTACAGCACCAGGCTAACTTTTTTCAGTAATTAGCCCTTCTCTTATACATGTGATTTCAAAGGGAAACAATTTTCTGAGTTAACAAATTTTTTCATAGTTTGGCGGCCTCAATTAATTTCTGCCAACAATCACTTTCTTCTTCTCCTTTTTTATGGATCTAGGTGATCATATTGAGCTAAAACTGCGTTTGGATGAGTAGATGGAATGGTAAATAGAGGGTAGTATTATTTGTGACCACTACTTCCTAGATAACTGGGGAAAAAAGGGATGAGATAGTGATAATACTTTATATTTAGGACAATGGAGAGAAGAAAATCAATAATTTGTCTTATACGGAAAGAAAAGAGAGAACTATTTTATAATGTGAGTTGTTAGATGGGAATAGAAATTATGTTATAAGAACCGGGGCAACACAAACAGTCCCTATGGATTGACTAGAGCATTTAAAGTAATAAGGCTTGAGAACATGGTGAGAGTAATAAGGAATGTCTCATGCATAGTCCTAAGAAGGCTGCACAAAATACACTGGAAAAGGATGTAGCAGCTATCAGACGGCTGATTGGTAGATTTGACGAGTCTGGATCTGATTTCAAAGGATTCCAGAACTCTAGTGCCAATCTGTCCATATCTACGGAAGGGCAACATGGTCAGATAAAATATCTAACAAGAAACTTGGCTCTTTGTTCATTGTTTCATGAAATTGAAACCCTTCTTTGGTTGTTTTTCCATTCCTAAATATGTCCCTTGCCTGTTTTCTAATACTTAATACTTTTTACTCCAATCCTGTATGGTATTTAAAAGTTTGAAAAGAGGAATTGATTACTGGATTGGTCGAAGAGAATGAAGCCCCTCTCCTAACAATCAACACACACACACGATTTTCATAGAAAAAATGATAGTTTGCTGCGCTTGTGTTTACATCGGAGACCATTATTTGGGCTGAACCAACAGTAACCCTGGGATATTTTGTCCACAGATGAAGTCAAGGAGCGCAGCAGGTATATATATCTGATCAGTGTTAAAGGCACGCCTAGGCTCCAGGCTCATGCGGGTGCAACAATTGCACCTGTTGTGTGCCCACTGCCCAGATGTGCCTTTGACAACATTTGCACTGGAATATGTATATGCTTTAATAATAATTTAAATTTTCAATTTTGCGCCTCGCTTCACTTAGGCATGTGCCTCACCTTGCGCCTAGGCTCCAAAGGACCTCTAGCGCCTTAGTGCGCCTTGGGCCTTTGATAACACTGTATCTGATTGATATGCTCGAGCTGTTTATTATCTTTGCTCATTTTTTAAATTTCTAATGCCTTTTTAAAACTAAAATTCTTTCTCCAATGCCACTTTTCCTTCTTTGTGAGGATATCCTGCTTTGGGTTCACCAATCAAGTTATGGTGACCTATCTCTTCGTAGGATCTTTATATAATATATATATGCATAGATTTTGTTTTCAGTTAATGAATTTCTTTTCTGCTTATTGCAGCTACTCACATCATGGATAGAATGAAGTTTCAATAACTTGTTGGGTAAGAGTTGGACCACCTATACTTCAATTAGCATTAAGTTAAGATAAAATTTACACCATAAAGGTCAATCACACTTAGAGTTACTGGATTTTATCAACTGGTAAACTACGTGGTATCCTCTACCTAATTTTGAATCCACATAATAATTTTTGCATTTTCAAATGAAAATTTAATTCAATTTTATTTAAGGTGGCAGTTTAAGAAACATATCAGGACCTGGTTAACCAAGAGTTGCAGTTTCGATGGATTTCTGGATGTGTTACTGTATGGAGAGTTAAAATAAGATTCTTTCGTGTTGTTTTCCTTAGATTTTTCAGTTAAATTTATCATTTTTCAGTTTCTATGATTTCTAACATGCTTGCGAATTACTAGCTTTGAATTGCTGACTGTACTGAGTGTTGACTGTTAAAATATTCTACACTCAGGTTAGGATTGTTAGCTCAAGTAGTATGTAACTAAGCATTAGTTCGTTCAAAAGACTCATATGATTTTACTCATCTTCTCTTCGTCAACACTCAAGTTAGGATTATTAGCTCAAGTAGTATGTAACTAATCATTAGTTTATTCAAAAGACTCATATGGTTTTACTCATCTTCTCCTAGTTGAGCTGACAAGCGTGAGGATGAAGCGTCAAATTTGACAATGCCTGAAGTCAATTTGGGAAAAAAAATTAATTAAATTGTTAGGTCTATCTTCAGTTTTTTCCCCACCAACAACTCTTTGTGCCTTGCACAACCAACACGATACAATGCCTTTTTTTTCTTTTTCTTTTTCCTTGTGACGGGGATGAGAGGCAAATTATTTTTAGGTGTTGCCAAAGTTTTTTTGTTTTTTTTTTTTCCCAATATATATGGATAAGCTTCATGAAGTTATTTTTCTCCTAGTTGATTACAACCCTCTGCCCCCGCGGGGGGGAATTGTTTGCACCCAAGAGGATAAGCATTACAAGGAGAGATTTGTCCCACATCAGATCCGGATGGGAGAGTGATTGGGTATAAATGGATGGGTATGCAGCGCTACTCAACAGTTTAAGCTTTTGGGTAAATGATTAAGCGCCCACCCGTTACAGTTGGTATCAGAGCCAGACCAGTCTTTGATCCGGTGCCACGCCTCCCGACTCGGAAGGTGTTCAGGTGAGTCACCCGAGTAGGCAAGGTGGCCCGACCGCAACGAGGATGTTGCGAGTTCGGGTTGGGGAGTATGTTATAAGGGGTATTTGTCTCACATCGGATCCAGATGGAACGTGAAAGGGGTATAAATGGGTGGGTATGCAGCACTACCCAACAACTTAAGCTTTTGGGTAAATGGGCAAGCGCCCACCCTTTACAATAAGCTTCATGAAGTTTTTGAATATATATATATATATATATATTATTTTTTTTGAAGTGATGTTGCCTTTTTTTTTATCAAATTGGGTGGAGTGATCATCACTCGTCGTGTGGTAACTGAATTTTGTTTTAGGCATTGGATGATATCAACAAATATCTCTGCAGGAAGTTGGTTTTTGTAGCTTTTTTAGTGTAGAGTGTTAGGCTCATTTTGAAACATTTATTATTTGAGACTGTTGGTTTCATTAGCAGTCGACGTGAGTATTTAGTGTTTGGTGAATTGGGAAGTATAGGTTGTTCAAGATCTAGTTATCTATTCTTTGTGGCAAAATACACACTAAAGCCTTTAAAACATCATATCTAATTGCCATCTGCTAGCTTGGTACTTTTGAGTTAAATTCTTGAAACAATAACAATTATTGACTTGTATAGATATTGTGGATTAGAAAAGTTCTAATAATGAAATTAGAAATGAAGACATTTGTGAGATGGTTAAAGTAGCACTAATTGGAGAGAGAACGAGATAGAATTGGTTAGATGGGTTCTACATGTGCATAGAAATTTAACTGCTCCAGTTAGGAAAAATGTCATAGTCCACATCGTGGGTATTACTAGGGGAAGGGAAGACCAAAGTTATTGTGGTTAGAGTTAGTAACATGTGGTTTGACTGAGGCTATGGACTTAGAGAGGAATAGAATTATAGGATTCATGTAGCCGACCGGCTTTTTTGTTGTTATTAGTTGTTATTATAGATCTTCGAGGTTAGAAGTTTCGATAATGGCGTCTCCTTAAAACTTCATTTCTGCCTTATGAGGTGGCTAGATTGTCATTTTTTTTTTTTTTTTTTTCTCTTAGTTTTGGTAAAATATATGCATATGTTGAAGATTTAAGGGAAAAAAAAAATTCATTTAATTTCATGTCTTGCACTACACTATTCAGATATTATTTGTTTTGCAATCTCTTGGTGCTCACGGTTTTAAAACGCGTTTGAACAAGTAGGAGGCATCTTCACTATAAGTGTGAGCGACATTGTACACATTTTTATTTTCTTAAGAAAATTAGTAAATATATGAATGGTGGTTTGAAGGTGGTCAATATGTCATGCACCATGTATAGTGAAAGTGTGCAGTTTCAACTGGAGTAATTTTTATCTCAGCATACTCCACTACCTAGTTGTACACTCAAGGCCAAAGTATCTGGTGCATATAGCGGTGCCAACACAAAGTATTCTTTGAACTGTGCAAGGTAAACATTTGGAAGTAGATCAAGTGTAGGAGCAGTGTCACTTTGCACAAATATTTATACTGGTCAATTCCTCCCGACACCCTCAATTAAGCGGGTAATGGCCCTTTCTTAATAATAAGTTAATGTTTTTGCTAGATGATGACGTGATATATATTTTTTGGTTACTGAGCTAGACAAAGTGCAAAAACTCCCATTATATTGTGTAATTCAGTCTTCGTTGCCTTAGTTATTTTGATATTGTTTAGAAATGGTGGTATTTGTGTTATTGGGGTGCATGTATTTTCTTATTGGCACAATTTTGTTTGAAGAATTCTATTAAGCATGTTTGTTGTTGAAAAATAATCTCTCTGAAATAAACGACGTGGACTTGGAGAATGGCTTTGAACATAGAAATCTCATGGATTCACTTACAGTGGACTAAGCCTAGTACAAAGTTGGGAGTATAAAACCCGAGGAGGAGTTTGAAACATGAATCAGAAAAATTGAGCATAGAACTTACAATAGCGAACAAGTTTTCTATGTAATATAATATTGAATATTTGCTAATGGATTTCTGTTTCTTTTTTCATTTTGCTGATAACAGTGATTCTGATGGTGTACGTTACCGAAGTTGTAACTTGCAAGGGCTTCTGTATACAAGGGAGTAGCGTTAATAGCGGAGACATGGTATGTGAACCTCGGCGGCGCCTGTCATAAGTAAAAACAGGCATTTTCGGTGTTGATCTGTGAGTGAGTGTCGAATGTGAAAAAATTTCTTGTTTGCTTGTGTCTGTATTGGGCAGAGGAATAGGAAGGAAAGGGACAAGAAATTTATTTGCAGCTTTCTTGTACAAAACACAATGGGTTAGTAAAAACAATTTTCAAGGCCTCTGGGAATAGAGAGGATTTTGTCCGAGGAGGTTAAAATTATGTGAAATTCATTAAATGATGATGTCATGATGACGTAATGTCTCAAAAAAAAAAAAAAAAAAAAATTAGATCATGAGTGTTTCCTGAAGTTGGAAGTTAATTTTTATCCGAACACAACTTTGCATGAAAGATTATTATATACTATTTTATGTTACTTGAATATAATACAGGTGGTGTATGTCCTAGCATAATTTTCTATATAATACTCCAATAACATGTCTTACTTTTCCTACAATATATATGTGGCCATTATTTATTTTAGTATGATTTTTGCGATGCCACTAGTATTAATCTTTATCCTATATATACACACACACACACAGCACATATGTTTGTAGTTCATTAGAAATCTAAATTTATTTTTTTTAATGTTAAGATTTAGGATTTAAAAGAAGCAATAAAAATCTATCTTTATTATATAAAGAAATGTATTATAACATCAATTTGTATTACACATTATATTCGAGAACGGAAAAAAATCAATAAATTAGCGTTCACTTGATATACAAGAATGGTCTTGTTGTCCTTGTAGTCGGTAAAATTTATTAGTTTAAACAATTTGATTGCTAATAAAGCCTAAAGGTTTTGTTTGTATAGCACGAGAAAAAAAATAATGAGAGCAAATACTAAGAAATAACGGTGATAACCTCTTATGGTGTTTAGCTAATGATGCTAATGACGAGGTAAAAGTCAGGTAATAACCTCAAACTGTGTATGGGAAATATAGCAGAGTGATTTTTGTTTGGAGAAAAGAGAGATTTTGTAAATTTTGAGTGACGAGGGTAAATTTGGAATTTGCTTTTTATAAAAATGAAAAAAAAAAAAAAAAAAACTGGTGCCTAACTATGTTTTTTTTTTTCTCCGTCTACGTTTTAGCGAGAAAAGAAAATCACTGGAGTGAGCTTATAGATTCTTACATTATTTTTTTTTTTTTGAAACAAACAAAAAAAATTTGCCTCCAAAAATTTCGCTCCAAATTCATCCCATTATTAAAGGAGGAGATACACTAGGCTGATGCTGAAAAAACAGGACTTATATGAAACCCTCGTCCAAACGAATTCAAGTTATTTAATTTATTGGTGTATTTTGTTATTTTAAAAAAGGAAACTTTTTTGCGTTGTGCAACCACTTTAGCATCCTAGCGCCAGAAACACGATCACGAGAACTTTTCCGAGTTGCCCTAGCCGCGATCTCCTCAACCCATCACTGTCTCTCCTCTCTACCGCAGTCTACTCCGGGTATAGTCATCGTTCTCCACCGCACTGTACTCTCTGAGTCTTTTAGGTTTGTTGTTTTTCACTGCCACTCTTCATTTTTTTTTTTTTTTTGGCCTTCATTCTCTCTAATATACACACGCACACACATGACAATGACAATAATGTCAGGGTAAACATTAATATGGTTTCTAATGCTGGACAAGATTATCCTTTGCTGCACCCTTTATGTGTGTTTGTGTGTTTGCCTGGCAGTTGTTTGTTAGAATGCTTAAGTGAATGTCTGTCACTAAATACACACACACACCCACACACACACACACACACACACACATGTTATGATGGTCAATTTCTAGCACTTCGTTTGTCTGATTTTCACTTTTCTTTGGAAAAAATTCTTCAAATATATATATTTTGATTGAGTCAACTTTTAATTAAGCAAGGGATACTCAGAGGTCAGGTGTTGACTCTTCTGTTGAAGTGGTTTAACAGTTTTGGTGCAAACAGAGAGAAAGACCCTGTTTATTCAACTGTTAAAGGCACCAAATCTGCATATGCTTCCCCCCCAAAAATAAATAAATAACTAGAGAAAGGAATTTCTGCAAGGCATCTGAATCTCTTGCAGTGCAGATGACTGAAAAGATTCGCGGTTCATTTCCGGCTTCCAAAGATAGTGGAATTGATTATGATTGGGACATAGCTGGTGAGGTTAGAGAAATGGAGAAAATTGATGTTAGAGCTAATTCAAAAACCTCAAGGTACTCCGTATATTTTTATATATGCTTCCATTTCTCCTTTGTTATTGTTTTTGTTGCTGTTTTTGTTTTTGTTTTTAAAAAAAATATAGAATTAATGTATTTCTGAAATTATTTGGAGATTTTTTATTTTTATTTACATATAAATAATTATGGTTTCATTCAGATGAATGAGCATGCTTAATTAAGACTTCTAATATTAATTGAATGTCCTTTCAACTTATTATCAATATAGTTTGCTCAATTTGCATCAACACCAACCTTGTGGGAATGGATCCTGATTGCCAGTTTGCATTATGTATATTATGTGTTTTTTAGTGTGCTCAGTTTTTCTTTTTTCAGTTGATGAATGAAGTGGTAAATGGTAATAGTCATGAAGTATATGTTGGTTAAAGAAGGTCAAGGATCAAACATTCTGTAATTTTAGCAAAATTATGGGGATTGTATTTTGATCTGACACTAGTTTTCTTGAATTGTTTGAGATAAATTTGTTGACTAAAAGATGTAGTTCATTGGAATCTATACATCAAAGTGTCTGATTGGCATTGCCTTTTTTTTTTTTTTTTTACATGCATCTATGTATCAATATGTTTTAGCAAGGCACCTTGTGGGTTTCTCATGCTATTGCATCAGGTTCCCACTATCTTTTTCTTTCTTTCTTCATTATACCACTCTTGAAACCTTGACCTCGAGCTAGAAGTTAAGAGCCAAAGCCACCAAGCCAGAGGTAGACCGCTAACCCACTATACATGTGACAAAGTGACATCTCTCTGGTGTTAAATTAGAATAAATCACAATTTAAGCCCTTTGAAGGAAAGAACTTCTAATTTGGCATTTATTTAATGAAGCACTGACACAGACACACGTGTACAAGGCTTGGACATGTGTCCGACACGCGCTAAACATGTCTTGTGTATTTTAATATATCTAACGCTGCCAGACACTCTTATCGGACACAGCCGGACACCGATTCGGACAGCCGGACACCCAGGCTGAAGATACGCCGCTAGGAAATTTTTTTTTCTTTTCAAATAGACAAGATCATGATTCCCATGAATCAGTCGGCTAGAGGAAGAAGATGAAGCGATCCAAGAAGTTGAGAAGGGAGCCAAACCAGTGCAACATGGGTATCATTCATATATATATATATATAACGTAAATTGGTTTGACGTATGTATAGAAGTAAAAATTGTCAAGATAGAGGAAAGGAGAGAGAAAGGCCGGAAACGATGGAGCACATAGTGTTTGTAGATCTGAAATTGAGAAGACAGAGGGGAATGAGTGATAATGGCCGGTAGGAGCACAGAGACGTGTGTCAGTGGAAAAGAGTGATGGGGGAGAGAAAGAGGGGGTAGGTATCACATATATAAGATTCTATCTTATCTATATATATATATATATTTGTTTTTTATTTTATTTTTTTACCTATAATTGTGTAATTTCTTTTATTTTATATATACATATATTTTATTTTATATAAACAACTATATCTATATTTTTTTTCTTTTGGAATTTGGATTAAAGTTTTTGAAAAGAAAGATGGTGCAAGTGGGCTAATTTAAATGAGTGATATTTATTAATATATATAAAAAAAAAAATGTAGAAAAGTAAATTTTTTAATATACAATAAAAAAAATATATTATCATTTTATTGCCGTATCCTTGCCGTGTTCGTGTCCTATTTTTTAGAAAGTTGTCGTATTACCGTATCTGTGTCGTACCCGTGTCCCGTGTCCGCGCTTCATAGGTATTTATTTTCTATTTAATTTAAGTAGATTTTGAAAGCCTTCCTTCAAATGAATCTTGCAGAATACGAAAAAGATCAAGATTATTGAAGGTACAAGGCTTAATAGAGAATGCATGGAATGATTCTTATTTTTTGGTCTGGTTATTTGATTTAATGCTTCATTTGCTTAATTTTCTTTTAGATTCAAACTATTTGATTTTTATAGTTGATAAACCTTTAATAGTGTTGCTTTTCTTGGACATGTTTACTTTTGTTCCAATGTTCAAAACTAAAATAATTTTCACTTTGGATTTCACTTAATACTTAATCAAGCTTGATTATCTTAAAAATAAATTATGTTTCATATTGTTTTACTTATGAATGAGCACAATGAAAATAAATTGCCTTCTACATATTGCTAGTACTCTGACTTATCAAAAAAAGAAAAACATATTGCTGGTACTCTGACTCAAAGGTTGCATGCATGATTTATACATGGAGAGTTGCTTTCATGTGCTATGTTGATTTGCTTTGATTTGGTGAATTAGAAATGGTGAGTAGTTGACTTTAAAAGGCTTCATGCATCTTCTGAGGGTTTATTCTTAAAGGCTGGTTGTAATAGCCCACTCTACCACATGGTATGATAGTGACTGCTTTGGGGCCAAGCTTGCACGTTTTTGTTCTTGGGTTTACCTGAAAAGGCCTCGTACCATTTGGTGTGTACCAATCCTACATATATAGCACTTCCCTTTCTACACCTGGGCAATGTGGAGTCGTGCACTTGTAACCTGCCAGTGCCTTGCATTCGCCCACGCATACCCACCCACAAGGTCCCCACAATCCACCCCCCCTTAAGAGGCCCAACGTACTAGTCGGCATACTTCCGACTGGGTCTGATACCATTTGTAACAACCCACTCTATCATATGGTATGATATTGAACGCTTTTGGTCCAAACTCACACGGTTTTGTTCATTGGTTTTACCTCAAAAGGCCTCATACCATATCAATCCTACATATATGCACTTCCCTTTTCCACACTTAGGCGATGCGGGATCGTGCACCCTTAGTCTACCAGCATGGTAGCCTGCCAGTGCCTCTCACCCGCTCACGCACACCCGCCCACAAGGTCGCCACACTGGTTCTTTGTAAATTGTCATGGCGAGCAGTTGCTTGTTCGGGTCTTTACATTTTACAGAATGGTTGTTTTCTTGTGCAATTTATTTTATGGGTAAGTTATAACAAGAAATGGGTCATGCCAGAACGTAATATATATATGCACCGTAAAGTGCGTAAAATAGACTTAATACTTAGGTATTGAAGTTGACCATTCATCATGCCTTCCATGATCACCGTGTTATCAGATTTAAAAAAACCCATTACTGGTGGAACTTTTGTTGAGCCTAACTCACCCCATGTTGCTTTAAGGATTGACCATGCTATTTAAGCAAATTATGAATATTATTCAAGCATGAACCAGGAGACCCAACGAGGCCATGTATTGAATTGGATCATATCTATTGTTTCTCCCATGTATTACATAGAGTAGTGGGAAAGAATGAATACTATTTAAGCAAATTATGAATATTATTCAAGCATGAACCAGGAGACCCAACGAGGCCATGTATTGAATTGGATCATATCTATTGTTTCTCCCATGTATTACATAGAGTAGTGGGAAAGAATGAATAAATCTTTGGAGTATGGGACAGACTAGGGGGTGAAGCGCATCCTTTCTATTGGTTGTTCTCTCCATCTCTCTCTTGCAAAACAGACAAGGCTTAAACTGGAAATGCTTTGGAGAGCTTCTTTGCATAAATGTGTGGAAAATTGCAACAGGGGAGAGCATGAGTTAAGCGGTTAGGTGTCTTGTGTAAGAAGAATGACAAAAGAGTGATTAAGGCTGTGTTCTTGTGACAGTTTAAAATCATGAACCTCCTCAACTCATCTCTATTTTCAATTTCATTAAACATTTTAAGGTTACCAAACATCTTATTTATTTATTTATTTTGTTTATTGTGTTAGATTTTCTGAAACAGTTTAAGGTTACCAAACAATATTCCTTTATGTTACCAAACAATGGTTTTGTTTATCAATAAACATGTCATAAACACTGCGTAAAGTTACGAAAACAGTTACCAAACGGACAATTGGTCTAAAGTCATTTATTTTATTTTTCTCATATCCATTTAAAGTGCACAATTGGGTATTTAGGATTTTTATATTCTCGTTGTCACTTAATGCACAATTGGGTATTTAGGATTTTTATATTCTCGTTGTCACTTAAATTTTTTTTTATTTTTAAATTTTATAAATTGCGGAGATTAGGGTTTTGATGCTTACAGAAATAAAATTCACCATATAAACACTGCTTGTTATGTAAACTCATTAAATTATTTTGTAAGTACTCTTTATTTTGTTGATTCTCTTTCTCAAGTCTATCACATGAACGATCAAGTAAAGAACCAGATTGCCTGTGTTGACAAAACTGTCGGAAATCACTTCTATAAACCTAGATACATGTATAGAGTGGTATATATACATGTGTCTGTGTGAGTGTGTACGTATACATGTATTTAATTGTGTATATTATTGTAATTGTTTAATTTAGAAATGCTTATGATTTTATTTTATAATTTTTGTTTATTGTACCAGGAAAAAGGTCATCGGATTGGATGATCTTTTGAGTGACTACTACAAAGAGAAAGATAAACTCAATGAGAGGGAAGCTAAACGGGCAAAGACTAGAAAAAGTTACTATTCAGATGAGGATGAGGACAGCACAGTAGCAAAACTCTCTGATTGTGTTGACAAATGTCAAGAAAAGGCATAAATTTTCTTTGTTTATATATATATATATATATATATATATTTATCTTTTTGCCTTTTTGTTTTTGTTGCTATATTGTTCTTTTACATTTCTTTGTTTTCATTTTATTATTATTATTATTATTTTGTTTTTATGTTGTTCTTATATGACTCACTGCATTCCCTAACAAATAGGAATACTATTTGTGCAGATAGGATTAGTAAGTGGCGAGGATGAGATCTATTTGTGGGGTCTCCCAGTTTTTGGAAAACAGGTTTCATTTATTGAGCAAACTGGAGTTTAGGGTTTATACAGTAGTCTACAAATTTGACATGAACTATTTAGGTAGGACAAATTATAACATATGTTTCCTCTTTGTAACTTGCAGAAGACTGGACCATCATTGATACATTTTGAGCTTGAAAATTGCTCGCTTTTGCAATCTTTTATGAGCAATGAGCTCAATTCATTAGTTGATCTTAACATTGACAAAGGTTTCTAATTTTCTTTTTCTTTGCTTGCCTTCTGTCCTAGGATTATATGTGTTACCTGTCTTGATCCTTTGAAATTTTGCACTACTTTTGAGTTTGGTTATAAGAATGTTCTAACAAGCATACCTGATTGAAGTTTAATTTGTATTTGCTATGTTCTTGCAGGAGAAGTTTTCCTTGAAAGTTTGTTGCTCAATGGGTGGCTATTGAATTTGGTCTATTCATGCAGTAGCGTAGAAAAATCCATAGCAACATGGACATTCAATTTGAGTGAGTATGTTGTTCTATATTCATACATCGAAACAGGTACCTGATATTCATCTTACCATTGCTTTTTCTGGCTTCTCAGTGTTGTACTCATCAAAGGAAGTTCTGAGGACTTCAACGGTAGACTTTTGGTGTGAGATTCTCTCACCTAAAAAGGAGGTAATCTTGATCTCTATTTTACAAGGTTAATTTGAAGCAAAGTCTTCTTGTAACATATAAAAGTGGAGTAAATTATTGTGACCTAATTACATACGCATGCTGAGAATGTCAGAAATTACACATACACTCTATGCTCTACTTATTTTAATAATTTTTTTTGTAAAAAATAGAAAGGTCAACATAATACAAAAGACTGTTACACCCCTTTTAAGTTCAAAATTTCTCCCTCAAATCTTCTCACATCATCTTTATCTATACATTCCTCACCCATTTTTCTTCATTCTCTCTACCGTTTTTCTTTAAAAGTCTCGCTCTATATATTAATCATTCTCATATTCTCCCCCTCTTAGGGCTGCAAATGAACCGAGTTGTTCATGAACAACTTGTTGAAACTTGGCTCGTTAAAAGCACATGTTCGTTCATGAACTCATTTTTTAAGGCTCGTTTAAGGGCAAATTGGGTTTTCTGAAAGGTTCACAACTCGTGGCTTGTTAAAAGCTCATGTTTGTTCATGAACTCATTTTTTAAGGTTTATTTAAGGGCAAATTGGGTTTTCTAAAAGATTTTACTCAACAATAGTTAGTAACGGGAAAACTGGAATGATACACCATACCTTAGGAGAGGTTTGAGTAATTTCAACCATTATAGCACTTGTGTAGTTAAACCCAACTTCAGCAAGGTGATTGGATTTACCCATTAAACTGAGTTATAATCTATATATATATATATATATATATATATATATATATATATATAGGGTAAAAAACTGAGTTATAACCTTGTTTGGTTAACTTTATCTTAGTTACAATTCTTTATCTGTCACAATGCTTAATCTGGTTGATACATTGCAGATTAAAATCAACTGGTTACCTAAATATTCTGAACTACAAAGGGCTCTCCTAATCTATGGTTATCTGTTGGATTCACCATCCAATTCTTCGTGCAATACGGAAATGTTCCATGAAGGTAAGCCGCTTTCCATCTTCTATTTGCTACTTCTCATGCACAATACAATGCAGAGGTAGTGCATGTGGTTGAAATGATAATGTCCATGTATTGTAGAGCTTGGTTTAAAACCCTTTGAATCAAGTGTTTATACTTTATAGACATTGGGAATGCGCAACTGAGGAAAATGCAGAGGACTGCCAATAGCAGAGCACAACATATGATTAATAGGTTTAGGATTTAATTAATACAAATCTGTAAAATCTTTTGATTGCAAAAAATTCCTGAAAGTCGAAGATAAATTTTAAATATCAGTAGCATGTTTCAATAATAGGTTTAGGATTTAAGTAATACAAATCAGTATAATCTTTTGTTGGAAAAATTAGTCCCGAAAGTTAAGGATAAATTTTTAATAATCAGTAGCATGTTTCAAATTTGGATATTAATCTTGCTCATTTCATTTTTCTAATTTTTTTTAAAATTGATTTCTACTGTAGTGTCAGGATATTTTTGCCTCCTGTGTCCTTCATATCATTCACCTGAGGACAACTATATGTTGGACTTTATGATTAGACTATCTCCTGGAAAAGAGAAAGGAGGAAGACATTATACTTTCAATATACTTTTAGTTGTACACTGATCTCTAAACTAGTAATTTATTTCTCTTAATTAGAATATACTTGTTGCCAGTTTGGATAAGGAGTTGAATTTAAGTTGATCGTATACTATGTAATATCAAAAGAGGATTGAATTTAAGTTGATCGTATACTATGTAATATAAGGATAAATTTTTAATAATCAGTAGCATGTTTCAAATTTGGATATTAATCTTGCTCATTTTCATTTTTCTTAATTTTTTTTAATTGATTTCTACTGTAGTGGCAGGATATTTTTGCCTCAAACTAGTAATTTATTTCTCTTAATTAGAATATATTTGTTGCCAGTTTGGATAAGGAGTTGAATTTAATTTGATCATATACTATGTAATATCAAAAGAGGATGCTAACAAAAGGCTTCTTGTGTCTAACATGGCTTCATATACTGTTAGTTTTTTGTTAGTGTTCCAATCCCATGTGGCAGATGGGTTAGAGAGGTGTCCTTGTTGCATAGTGTAACTGAACTTAACAAAGAACACTTTATTACTTAACTGATTTTTCAGTAATCCATTGTTGTATATTATTAATGAGTACACTATTTATTAATGATCCAAAGCTATATTTTATTCTCTTAATTTTGCAACATGGGTACTAGTCATTTATCATTTTGTTTGATGTGTAGTGTGAAGATGTGCTAGCAACTCATCTGGTTTTGAAGTTTCAAAAATAAATTCATCTGGTTTTGACTTGACTTGGTGTATAATAATTGGAAAATCCAATGTTGGTTTTTAAAATAATGTTCCATAATAATTATACTACTAAACACTAGCTTTGATGGTATCTTCTGTTGTCCTCTAAAGGAGAGGTGCAAAGGTTCAACTCTTAGATTCCCAATCGGGACATGGCTGTTGTACTTATTGAAAAAATAATTATAATAATAATAATAATAAAAAGAGATTCAAAAATATTTTACGAAATTTTAAGTTTATAAAACCATCTTCACTGGTGTTCTTATCTTACTCACCCACATAAATACAAGTTTTGCATTGACATGATGTAATTTCCCTTGACTTTACAGTGACACATTTTTCCAAACAGAAGCAACAACAATGAACATAAGTTCCTTCTGGAGGGATTCGAAATGTGAACAGTTTATATCATTGAGAGCGTCTATTCTAACTAGAATATGGCTTTGTTTATTATGGGAAGAATTGATATTTACATGCATCTGACTGAAATGGGTGGCACAAATAATATGCATTGATGATATTGAGTTTTATCACTCTCGCTTTTGGGCTCTATTGGCACCATTTTGGTTTGTCTAATATCCTGTGATTGATGTGGTTTCATCTTATATGATTATGAAGATCTCTTTTGTTGCAGTATGTTCTTTTGGTGCTTCTTAATTTTCTAATCTTGCTTTATGAGAAGATATCTGGATTATTTTATTCTCCAACAAAAGCAACAAGGGTGCCAGTAATTTACAACTTTTTTTTGGTGTGTAGTTTGCAAAAGTCCATTATAGTTCTTCCACCAATCACTAGCTTGAGTGGTATCTCCTGCCTTCTTGTAAAGCCCATTATACTACTAGTGTTCTTACCCCCCTCGCCCACATATATACCAATTTTTGCATTGAAGTGATGTCATTTTCCTTGACAGTAATACATAGTCAATTTCCAAAAGATACAACAAACATATTTTCCTTCTGAAGGGGTTTTGAATTTCAGCAGTTTATATCATTGAGACATGCTTCTTACTGCATATGGCTTTCTTTAGGACGGGTAACATTGACATGCTTCTAACTGAAATGGGTTGCACAATGCATTGATGTGTTAGGGTTTTCTCACACCCACATCATTTTGGTCTGTCCAATATCCTGTCATTGATGCGGTTTCATCTCATATAATTCTGATGATCTGTTTTCTTGCAGTACTCTTTTTGGTGTTTTCTTATTTTTCTGAAAGTAGGAATTTTATTACATTTGTGTTGGTGGGTTTTTTACAACTCAAACTCGTCTTCTAGATTTCGACTGTTGGGGACCACCCCAAAATATCAGAGCTTGGATCAAATATGTAGCTGCTTGTTTTCAAGTAAGGTAAGTGACAAATGAACTTGGTGTGGTTTGTTTTATTGACAAAGTGGGGATCTACATGGTTGATTTATTTTTTGAATGTTGAAACCTGCAAATATTTCATGTTTACAACCAAGACTAACTTACAGTAGAGTTGCAATATGATGTTCTCTGGATGGCTTTATATGGATTGAAGTGTCACTGATTTGGGACTTTCGATTGCTGGCATGAATGACATTTTTCTTTGCAGGAACACATATTCAATCTTCTCGACTTCGGAAGCAGAAGAGTTGCTGGTTGTGATTATCTGTCTCTTCTTAGATCGACAGCTTCTAGGCCTGTCTGTGATCTTGTATGAGTGTATGCTATCGGCTATTAGTTTCTTTACAGATTGCGAATGGAATTGGAGTTGCCAAAGAATAGCAAAATCCATTGCTTGCAGGTTATTGATTGATATTATGATTTGCTTCGTTTTACATCAATGGGTGACAACTAAAGCACTTTTTACTTGAGGGCTTTTATGATTTTACATCAATGTATGATAACTAAAACATCTATTTTATGCATTTTATTGTGCTGAACCACCATCTTTTTTGCTATTCATTAATGGTTTGATTCTCATATGCACCTGGTATTCCTTTTGTAGTTATTTTTAGTTAATTGTGCCGGAATGTGGATAGTATCTATTTGGAAATCACCAAAAAGGAACCGGGACAAGAATAAAATGACTAGTACAAAGTTCATAGAATAACGTGATTTGAGTCTGATTTGCAGTTTGTCATGAACCTTAGTCTAAATACATTAGCATACTTTTTCATGATGGTGACTGGTGAGAAGAAGGTTATACTTCTACATTCCTTAACGGGCTGCTTGATGATCAGGTTAAGTATCAGTGCTAGTTGATTGATTTTTTTTAAGGAATTTTTTCTTTTTGAATGAAGAATTCCAGTGGTGAAAAAGAAGGCTAACCTCCTACCATGTAGCATAAGGGGTGACACAAAATGTAACACCATTAATATTCTTCACTCTCTGTAACCCATATTTTTGCTGAGCCAAATTATCAAGTCACTAATAAAACATATATAAAAGATCTTAAAATAACTTCGGTTTTTTTGTCAGGACCATTGGATGTGGGAGCTTGTATGATTTATTTGGTATTGTTGTGTACTTGGGATGAATAAGCTGTGATAATTGTGTTACCAGACTAATAAATATTCAATAAGCTGTGTTGAATGTCACAAACTACCTACAGAAACATTACGACCATATGGCTTCTGCCTTTTTATTTAATGAAATTAATGCCTTGCACACTTCCATATGGTCATTGAACAAATGAATAAATTTCTTGGTTCTTTAAGATTGGCTTTTCTTATTCCTTTTCTCCCTTTCCTCTCTTGTTTTTGCTGATTACATGATGTGAATACAGAGTCCCCAGGGATGTGAACTCCATCAGAATTTTGGAGAGCATTTCAGGAGTAGATGCACGCAGCAAACATCTGAGGAGTATGGTGGCGTTTCAAATACTACACACTTGTTTTGATAACCAGGTAGCCCATATCCTTGTGCAATTACAGATCAAATATGATTGCTTACATATAAGATCCCACAAGATGTTTCGGTTTTATCAGCAAGTTTTTTGGTATAATTTCGTAGTTTCAGTTGATTGCTTGAAATAAATAGTAACCCAATTTAACTCTCTTTCTTGGTAGGTAAGCGCAAGCACACACACAACACACACACACACACACACCTAGACTTGGGTATGTGGTTAGTATGTATCCAAGCATGAAACATATCATATTCCCGAACAGAAGTGCACAGAGGCTGCTAATAATTCACATTATCTAGTGTTCCTATTTCATTTTATGGAGTAAAATAATTTCTTTATGTTACATAGTGTGTAATATAGGCATTTCACTTGTCTGAAGCAATAATATAATAAAATTGAATAATTGGATATGCTTTTTATTTGCATGTCCAACCAAAATTATCAGACACATATCCCATACTTATGTCTAAGTATTGTGTGTACTACAATTCTTACTACTTTTGAAGAGTCCATGTAACATACCATGAACCCACTCACTGTTGCCCAAATGGGTACTTGATCCATCCACCTCTTTTGTGGGAGGAGGAGATGCCACTAGAGCTAAAGCCTTAATGATAACTCAATTCAACTCAAATATGGTTTGTTGTCTACTTTATGTGGGTTAACAAACATCCATCATCTCTACCCCGAGAAATTATTGTATGGACCAAGTCCATACACCTCACTTCGCTGAGTTGGTGGACTACACCAATTAATTTTAGACACATGTAATAAAAATTTATTTTTATATTCAATTTGCCACATCAGCTTTGCAACATCTCTCTCCTCTCTCAGCCTTCCCAATCCACTCCATCTATCTCTATTCTCGTTCTCAACTCTAAACTTGCCCTCTCTCTCTCTCTACAACTACAAAAGAATCAGAAGTTCAAAACCCATATCGGCATCAGTTCAGATTGTTCAAAAAATCAAAACCCATATCTTTCAGTTTCCATCGCCCGCTGTTCCAGTTCAGGTTCGTCGTTCGCAAGCTTCAGCCGCTGTCTCTCAACTCAGTCCACCAAGAAACATCAAGAAAGAAATTCACCGTCTTCGTCGGAAGAATCCCAAGGATAGAATCCAAACGGATCGTCGCCGAGGAAATTGCCGAAATTGGAAGCTTTTGCTCTGAAATGGATGAAGGAAGAGAGCGATTGAGGGCGAAGAAGTAGAAGTGAGAGAAGAAGAAAGAGTGGAGAAGCAGAGGGCACCGGTTTCTGCCATTGTAGAGAGAGAGAGAGTGTGTGTTTAGAGAGAGAGAGAGAGGGTCTTTTGGGTCCCGAATCTGATGGATTTGGGAGAGGTCCGGCGATTAACAATTTGTTTGGTCCAACGATTAACACCTGAGCGGCAACCGTATGGTCATGGTTCTGATGTGGCAAATTGTGATGCGAAATTGTGAAGTACCATCTCTGAAGAAGCCATCGTTTTAGAGAGAGAAACAGGAGAGAGTAAAAGTTGGGTGGAGAAAGAGTTGGGTGAAGAAAGAGATGTTGCAGACGTGGCAAATTGAATTTAAAAATAATTTTTTTATTGCGTGCGTCTAGAATTAATTGGCGTAGTCCACCAACTCAGCCAAATGAGATGGTGGACTTGGTTCATACAATAATTTCTCCCATTCCTTGTAAAGGTGGATCCTTTTGTCAAATCAATTATGCGCTTTTATCGTCTAATTGAGCTCAACATCCATGGCTAGTTGATTACATATGCCAGCTAGACAAGCCTCCTGATATTCCAATTTGTTTCTTCTATAATATGTTAATTATGATTTACATTTATATATTTCCTTGTCATCTCCTCAGGATACTGAAGGAGAAGAGATCCTGAGACGGCTTGTCTCGATAAATGTGAAAGACAAAAATTGTGATCTTTTTAAAATGTATGTTTACTTGGTTCTTATTGAGAACTGGCTGTTATATAATTATATGTTGGAAGACAAGCCAGTGATCTTCGAATTGTGGAGTGTTCTTCTGAGAAATTGTTCTTGTCAAATAACCAGCACAGATTTAAGGTCGTATGCATCAAAGGTGTGCAATTAAACCCTTTGTGTACTCTGCTTGCTCTATTATTTCTTGAAATTATATACTACGTATTTCTTTTTCCAATGCAGGTCCGTAGCAAGGCTTCTTATCTGCTACAAGGCACTGGCAACAAATGATTGTTGTTAAGTAAGAACTTCGCTAAACTGCTACTTATCACCAAATAGTGTGATTAGTCTGATATTGGTTCATTCAGCTATTGCCAGGAAATTCAATGGGAAAATCGGTTCAAACCTCAGCTATTGCCAGGAAATTCAATGGGAAAATCGGTTCAAACCTCAAAAGGATACCTAGTGATGGACTTCGAATCAACCGCTTTTTTTTTTTTTTTTTTGGAGTTAGAGAAGTGAAATGTTTTTAACAGACCTTGAAGTATATGAGATTAGTTGCTCCAGATTTTGTGTGGTGTGACTTGCTGCTCATTCATTATATTACTCTTGTAGTTTTTGAGCTCGGAACTCTTTTAATATGCATGCCCTTTTATTTTTGGGCCAAATTTAGAGCATCCATGTCTGTTCCTTGGAATATTGTTCGCACTAAGGCCATGTTTGGTTGGGATATTGTTCGCACTAAGGCCATGTTTGGTGTGAGTGAATGGAATCAAATGAAGTTGGAATGGAATGTTTTTGTTTCCGTTCTCTTATTTGGTGTGTCACATTAAAATTGGAAGGGCCATACTGAAGTATTTCCAGGAATGCCCATTGTATCTAAAAAGTGGAATGTCCTTTCCTCTTCTCGAGAGGTGGAATACCATTCCATTCCCGCTAACAATTAAAAAAAAAAAAAAAAATCAAAGACAAAATAGCTTTTGGCAAATACACACGTAAAAGTGAAGCTCACAGGTGTGGGATGAGGCTCGCCGGACTAACTTTTTGGTTTGGTCATCACTGGTCTCGCCGGACCTGTTTACAAAGTTTGTCGGAACTGTTGGTCGCCGTGACTGAAGCACGCTGGAACTGATGCTTCAGTTGAATCGTCAATGCTCACCGACCAAGCTTCGGATGTGAACTTTGGTGGGTCATCGGAGAGAGCTGAAATGTAGCAACTCGCCAAAATGATGAAGATTCTGCAACTGGAGCACATCGGAATTAATAGACCTTTGCTGCTCGGAATTCACACCGGAATCACTGGTTGAATGAAGCTCGCCGGCGTTCATGGTGATGGAGCATCAGCTGGGTCTATCTTCACCGGAACCGTTGAGTCTTTGAATGCAGCTCGCCAATTTGCCAGAGCTGAAGGGCTTTCACCGGTTTTAATGGAAGTTGAGAGTCCCAGTGTTCACCGGTTTTAACGGAAGCCGAAGGTCTAAACTTTTGCCGGAACAGTGAGAAGACTCCCTTTTGGGCACAATGAACGCTTCAGATTCAATTTCTATCAAGCTCTGATTTGCTTGTAAATGATTTCTTTTACCAGATTCAATTTCTTGTTCTCGCTGTTATATCTATAATACCCACACATATATATACATGTATATACTTACATATACATATATTTATGTTTCTCTACTTTCTCTCTCTGTGTCGTTTATTTTCTCTTTCTATTATCTATTCTCCCTTTTATTTTTGTAGAAGTTTTTAGTTAAATTTTTTTACTAATATTAAAATATAATTTAAAAAAATAATATACATTCATTTCAATTTTTTTACCAAACAAATGGATGAGAATAAATATTTTATTTTTACATACTCCATGTTTGTAATCAAACGGTAGAATGAGAATCATTATTTTTATTCCATTCTCTTTGTTATTTCATTTCTACCTCCATTCTCATTCCACCGCATCAAAATAATCCTAATATTATTTGAAGAATAATTGGGATTTTCGGAAGAAGATGACGTTGGTTTGATTAAAATTGAGAAATAAAAAGGAATATAGAAAATTTAAATGCCAAAGCTGAAGCAGTTTTTCTTTTGGCCTAATATTGAAACGAGGCACTAGTGAAACTTATTGCAGACAATAAGTATATCCTTATCTAAAAGCATTTTCTCATTATCTTATCGGAAATAAAATAACGGACACGAAAAAAAAATCATGGATACGAATAAAATTCTAATATTTGAAAACTCTCAATAGAGTGTTTTATTTTGAATATAAGTGATAGGAACATTGTTGAATGTTAAAAATTAAAAAGATTTCAAAACATATTTAATTTTTTTTATTACCACTTAAAGTTTTTAATACTTAAAATTCAGCTTATTTTTAGTTTTATCAAATTAACTTCCCGTGGCCAAACAGATCCCAATTATAAAAGGAAAACTGAGTGAGTTACCTGAGACCAACTTCATCCCGCGAATTTTCTCTCTCTAAAATGGGAAAGAGGACCGCTAAGTACTCTGTGGTAATCTCAAACTCCGTCCGTCTCTCTTACACACACGTATTGAATTAGTGTTACGTGTGCGACTCAGTTTGAGTTTTGGAACAGGTGGATGCGTTCACCGACTCGCCTTTCAAAGGAAACCCAGCGGCGGTTTGTTTGTTAGAAGAAGAGAGGGACGAAGAGTGGTTGCAATCAGTTGCAAGTGAGTTCAACGCCTCCACAACGTGTTACTTGACTCGGCTCACTCACTTCGAATCTAATATTCAAGAATCGTCCGATGTAATTATAAACTCTAAGTTCCGTCTCAGATGGTTCACTCCTGTAGCTGAGGTCCGCTTCACTTTTCTCTTTTTTAAGCCTTTGTTTATAAACCCTAGTGTTTGATTGGAACCAAGAAAACAAAGTTTCAAGAATTTGCTCAATAATGCTCATTCTTTTAATTTCACACAAGAATCAGTATATAAAATTAGTCTTTTCAATAACTATCTGTAATTATGATTTATAGTGTCTTAAATACGTGATTCCTTTTCTTTTTTCACATTTGAATTCAGGAATGCTGTTCTTGTGTACTGAATTACCACTTCTGATTCTCCTGACAAATAATAATAATAATAAATTTATTATGGTACTTAACACTTTGATGTTCCTTTGCTATGAATTGGAAGGGAAAAAGTGATGCGGGTTAGTATATGGGTAACATGTATTACCTCTTTAACTTTTAGGATCCAGTTTATTTTGCACTTGGATAGTTATTTTGCAATTAATCCGAGTAGAATTATTGGTTATCTTTCTATCTTGGTTATCTTTCGATCTTGGCGAGGAAGGATTAATTTATATTCATTTATATGCTAAGAGTGGTATATGGTAACTTACATCCCACCGGTGCCTCAGTTGATTCTTATAGTTAATGTGTTATAGTTTAATTTGCAAGAGTTCATGCCTATTTTCAGGTTAAACTTTGCGGTCATGTAACCTTAGCAACTTCACACTACCTATTCACATCTGGTTTAGTTAATGGCAATGAAATCGAGTATTTGACACTATCTGGAATTTTGACTGCTAAAAGAGTTCCAGCTGCCCAAAGATTAGATTCGTTAATGTTTCAGAATGGTGAAGCACTCTTTCATTGAATTGAATTTTCCAGTTGTACCAATGATTGAGTTCACCTGTGCTGAAGTCTTGTCGCTTTCTAAAGTGTTGGGTGGTGCTCCTGTGATGGAAATAAAGAAGACTACTGGAGATGATCTGTTTGTACGTGTTCCATCTGGCTTTTGATTCTTTATTTATTACTTGCATAAGTATGCCACTTCTGATTTTATGTAAAAATTGAAATAGTGAATGGGTTGCATTTTATAAAACCCTGGGAAATGTCCTTGCTATGATTTTCATAACAGAAGGTCATATTAGTTGGTAATGGTATGCATCCCCAAACTTTACTGTTTCACGGTGCTTCTGGAACGAGATAAAATGTTCTTCAAGCTTATTTATGGTTAGTTTGTACTTGAAAGAGACTGATAGTTATTGTACATGGCAGGTTGTGCTTTCATCGGGAAAAGCAGTCGCAGATTTACAGCCACACTTTGACGAGATACAAAAATGTCCTGGAAGGGGAATTATTGTTACAGGGCTGGCTGCACCTGGATCTGGTTTCGACTTTATTAGTCGATTTTTCTGTCCAAAATTGGGTGTCAATGAGGTAATATGTTGAATTTTGGCCTCAAGCCATTGTACATATTTATAATTGTGAAACAAGCAGCCAAAGAGGCATGCAATTCTGTAAAAGTCTTGCAAGGGACTTTATGTTAACTTTTGCTTCGCAAACCAATCCCGATTTAGCACTACAACACTATGAAAGAAAGCTCCACATCTTGGCTACTTGCAAAACATGTTATTTTTGTTTCTCTATATTTTTTGAGGACTGCTCTTACATATCTCTCGTTATTTGGGGACCCTTTTTACCTCTTTGAGCTTCTATTGAATTGAGAAATAGGTTTGATTGTACATCTTTTTTACTGTGAAAGAGTAGAGTGAATGAGATAGATAACGAATTTGGAACCGCTAACGAAAAAAAGTATAGTTAGGAAGGCAAATGGGCTTTTTTGGGGATAGAGGGACTTTAACACTCACGATTTCTAAAATCCTCTACTATAAATTTCACTGTTGTCGGTATTGACATGTAGAATGGGACTTTATCTTTATTTTTGTTATTAATAAGTTCTCCAAAAGATCTATCAGACTATTGAGTGAATGATTTGATCAATGAATATCTGATTCTTTCTTCAATTTGGAATCGATTCACAACAATTCTTCAATTTTTCATATAAAAAAATACAGATTCGTGTCGTCAGTAATCATTTGATATAATATTTCAGTATGTATACGTATGTATATAGTTTCATCCTTCAGACCCTGCTTTTCCCTTCCCAGCCTTTGTCAGATTTAATTTAAACCAGAATCATCTGCATAACCTATATTTGGTTTTCTTTTTCAATGATTGTCCATAGCTGGATTATTGTTAGGTAATCGTAGTATTCAGAAGTAAAGAATTCCCGCAAACTACTTATCTGGATTTAGTGTAGTTTCAATGGACACTGGTATGTCGCATGACTTGTCTTGATTTCCCAGGATCCTGTGTGTGGGAGTGCACATTGTGCCTTGGCACCCTATTGGTCCAAAAAGCTGGGGAAGTGTGATTTTGTTGCATATCAAGTAATCTCTCTCTCTCGTCATCATCATCTTCACCTACATTTGCTTTCTACTAATGTTATTGTTAATTGACTCAGGCATCTTCTAGGGGAGGCATAGTAAATGTGCATTTAGATGAGAAGAGTGAAAGAGTGCTGCTTCGAGGGAATGCCGTCACTGTAATGGAAGGTTCTCTTTTGTTTTAGATTTTGGGGTTAATTCCATCTTTCATGTACGACATGATTGAAGATCTTGGCTATTATTGTTGGAAACAGTCCCTTTGCTTTCTCATTGAAACTTCTGAAATCTTGGCTAAATTAATTACTTGTACTGGAATCATTTGTAAATTCCGACTTTAATCTTCTTTCTATCTATTTAAGTACTTCATACAAGAAAATGTGCTTTCGTTCTATTACAAATCTTTACTATTAATGCCGATTAATGGATCTATCCCACTTAGCTGATGACTAATTATAAACGAAGATTTCTTGAGGCAAGCCCTCAATCACTATATCAAGGTCTTTTCTGTAAAATCTGTGCAATTATTATCTCTTCTTCAATCTCACTCTTCTTATCAAAGGGTGAAAGAGGTTCATTTATTATCAATCCATGGAGTGGATGTGCACGGTAAAAGTTGTAACACCATAAGGAACTGGCAAGATAAAATTATGTACCAAATGGCGGTAAAAGGATAACGGATAGGCAGCAAGTGGAATGCTGCTCTGCTGGGCTGAATTCCTTTTGCGCTCAGAGATTAATCATGTCTTGATACAATGGGTATGTTCAACAGTGTAAGGTAACTTACCAAAGTCCCATTCACTCTTGCCAAATTTCTCTTTTCATTATGTCACTACAACATTTACTTATCTATTTAATACATCTTTACCATTTTTTTGATTGATTTAAAAGAAAAGTTCATATTCTTGACATTATAGTAAACCTTTTGAACTTTTACACCTACGAGAATTTTTTTTTTGAATAACAGCAAATAGCCTTCAATATTGATAATTACTTCGATATTGATTGTTTGATTCTATTTCTGATTTTTTATTTTTATCATTTTGTTGTGACACATGAAAGCACAATATTTACAGTTTAAATCTATTGTAGTGCCAATTTGTTTGCTTAAGTGTAAATCGTAGGTCGGGTGTGCTGTGTAGCCCAGTTGGTGGGCGTGCTCTGCTTTGTGGTTTGGGAGCCAGGAGCCTTGGTTTGAGCCACCCATCAACACCTCGCGCCGCACCCCCCCCCCCCCCCCCCCCCCCCCCCCCCCCCAACACACACCCCCCCTCCTCCTCCACCTCCTTGTCAGGTTAAAAAAAAAATTTGTAAATCATAGGTCGAGCTGAACTGCCGAAGTTAACTATATACCTTTGGGTGAGAGAGAGTTGGGATTACCCAACTACCTCACCTTGCAAGAACCATTCTAGCATTTCCCATTTTATCAAAAGAGAAACGAGGCTTAGCTTAGTGGGAGGATACTGGGAGCACAATTCAAATTCATTGAGGTCAGAATAGTCTATAGATGGTGGTGCATTTTAATTGGACTTCACAGGACCAGATAGGATAGGTCTAAATACTTTTTTCTAAGATTAATTTCCGATTTTACTGCTCATTTTAGTTTACAATAATCAGCTCTTGGATGAACAATTGTTGAAAATCTATGTTGGAAGTGATTTCTGGAACAATTGTTCACCACTGGCTATCTAAAAAGTGTAGGAATAACTGCTGTGCTATTTCTTTTCCCAAAAAATATAAGGGGGAAGAGAAAAAGACAGGAAGAGAATAGTTGTCATCAAATTTATATCTCAAAATAAGATTGTTCTAGTTTCTAATTCAAGTTATGTAACTGTTCCATAGGCACCAGAGCAAGTAAACTAATGTCACTTGCAGCCTTACAAAAATTATCTATATTGCTTGTTATGATGATTTTATTCTTTCACTAATTCCTCAATTTTGTTTTTGGAGATTAGATTACAAACTGCTAGTTAGCTCATATGATGTTGCATTTCTAGCCTTTCCTAATTGTGTTATTATTTTTGGTTAAATCTGCATTACGCTCAGTGTTGCTTAATTAGTTAGTTGGCTCTGTGCGGTAGCATTTGCCTGTCTGTGTATGAGTGTATGCTATCAGCTATTAGTTTCTTTACAGATGGCGAATGGAATACCAATTAACAAAGAAAAGCAAAATCTATCCATTGCTTGAAAGTTATTGTTTGATCTTATAATTTGCTTGGTTTTCCATTAATGGATGACACCAAAGCACCTTTACTTGATGGATTTTATGATTTTACATCATTGTATGCTAACAAAAACATATTCCATTTTATCTATTTTATTTTGCTAAACCACCAGCTTTTTTGCTATTCATTAATGGTTTGATTCTCATATGCATATGGTATTCCTTTTGTAGTTAGTTTTGAATAATTGTGCGAGAATGTGGATAGTATCTATCTGGACAATCACCAAAAAGGAACCGGGCCAAGAGTAAAATGACAAGTATGAAGTTCATAAAGTAATGTGATTTGAGTCTGATTTGCTGTTGGTCATGAATCTTTATGTAAACACATTAGCATCCTTTTTTTTCTTTTTGAATAAAGAATTCCAGTGGTGAAAAAGAAGGCTAAACACCTACCATGAAGCATAAGGGGTGACACAAAATGTAACACGATTAATATTCTTCACTACTATATAACCCATATTTTTGCTGGGCCAAATTCTTCAGTCACTAATAAAACATGTATAAAAAAAAAATCTTGCTATAACTTGTGTTGTTTTGGCAGGACCATTGGATGTGGGAATTCGTATGATTTATTTGGTATGGTTGTGAACTTGGGATGAAAAAGCTGTAATAATTGCATTACCAGACTAATAAAAATACAGTTGTGTTGAATGTAACAAACCACTGACAGAAACATTACGGCCATATGGCTTCTGCCTTTTGATTTAATGAAATTAATGCCTTGCACACTTTCATATGGTCATTGAACAATTGAATAAATTTCTTGGTTGGGGGCAATGTATAATGAGTTTGTATAGGAAGTTTTTTCCCCCTTTAAGATGGGCTTTTCTTATTCCTTTTTTTTTTTTTTCTTTTTTTTTTTTTCAATTCTCTCTCTCATTTTTGCTGATTTTATGATGTTATGAATACAGGGTCCCTAAGGATGTGAACTCCGTGTGAATTTTGGAGAGCATATCAGGAGTAGATGCACGTAGCAAACATCTGAGGAGTATGGTGGCATTTCAAATAGTTCTCAACTTCTCACTTGTTTTGATAACAAGGTTGCTCATATCCTTATGCAATTGCGGGTCTAATATGTGTGCTTACATATAAGATCACACAAGATGTTTCTGTTTTATCGGCAAGTTTTTGGTATAATCCCGTTGATTCATTTGATTGCTTTAAATAAATAGTAACCCAATTTAACTCTCTTTGTAAGTGCACACACCCGAACAACTCACACACATACACCCCCGAACTTGGGGTACGTGGCTAGTATGTATCCAAGCCTGAAACATATCATATTCCCGAACAGAATTGCACAGACACTGCTAAATATTCACATTATCTAGTGTTCCTATTTCATTTTATGGGGTAAAATAATTTTTTATGTTACCTAGTGTGTAATATAGGCATTTCACATGTCTGAAGCAATAATATAATAAAATGAATAATTGGATATGCTTTTTAGTTGCATATTCAACCAAAAGTATCAGACATACTCATGTCCAAGTACTGTGTGTACCACAGCTACTTGTAAGTTCTAACTACTTTTAAAGAGTCCACGTAGCATACCGAGCTTCAAGAACTTGACATGGGTTTTATAGGAAGAAGTAGCTCGTCAGGATCCAATGATGACTGGATTCTTGGATCATCAAAGACAAGTGACGGAGATCGTTCAGGGTGGAGGAAAGACATTCGTCTTGAGTCCTGAGGCTCCAATACCCTCTTATGAGGAAATAGCGGCTGCTTGGGAGCGATTGCACCCACTCGCTGTTGCTCAAATGGGTACTTGATCCATTATCCTCTTTTTCTCATATAATTCAGCCCAACATCCATGGCTAGTTGATTGCATATGCTAGCTAGATAAGCCTCCTGATATTCCAATTTGTTTCTACTATAATATGTTAATGATAATTTACGTGTATATATTTTCATGTCATCTCCTCGGGATACTGAAGCGGAGGAGATCCCACGTTTATTGTGAAGGACAAAAATTATGATCTTTTTAAAATGTATGTTTACTTGGTTCTTAACTTCTTATTGAGAATTGGCTTTTATATAATCATACATTAGAAGACAAGCCAGTGATATACGACTTGTGGAGTGGTTTTCTAAGGAACTGTTCTTGTCAAATAAACAGAACAGATTTGAAGTAATATGTTAATCGAAGGTGTGCAACTAAACCCTTCTCTTTACTCTGCTGCTCTGTTATTTCTTATATTATAGATTTCTTTTTCCAATGCAGGTTCGTGTGGTTAGGCTTCTTATCTTCTGCAAGGTATTGGCAACAAATGATTGCTGTTAACTAAGTACTTTGATACTAATTGTGTAACTCAATTAGTTTTATAATGCCTGTTTTATGTATTTGTATCTTAGTCACTGATTTTGTTGCCCTGTCTAGGTATTTGTCGTACCGCAAATTCTTTTCGAAAATGGAGTACTTGTGCTGCTCTCTCTCTGTAGCAGTGAGATTCCCTAATATCGTGCAAAGAACAGCTTGGATTTATTGAAGAAGATGTCATTCCTTTTATTCCTTTATTATAAATAAAAAGCAATATCGAAAAATTGAATGCAAAATCTGAAGCAATTTTTTTTTTTTTTTTCTTTTTGCCAAAATTTGAACTTATTGAAGACAAGAAGTAACCTTTAATGGTTGAATCGGAAGTTCTTTTTTTTCTCTTTGCCTTTTTCTCCCGTTTTATGTCTATATATATATACCAATTTCTCTATTCCACTCCGTTTATATCTCCTTACTTTTTTCTATTTGATCTCTATTGTAAGAGCTTTCTTTGATATGGAACCCATTCCTGTCCTTGACCACTTTTATAGTTGGTGTGAGGCATCCCTTCAATAGTTACACTGCCACAAACTTTGCCTCTCTTTTGCTTCATTCTCCGGAAGAAAAAAAAAAAAAAAAAAAAAATTGCCTTTGTTTTTCTTGTGGTTCAGCGGTTGATATGGGATTTGGATCATCTTATTAGTTTTTCCCTTCAACTCAGGGTTCTAAATATGCCAATCATCACTTGTGCAATTTCCCACTAATTACAATTCTTAGAACCAATAAAAAACCTTAATAGAGACTTGTCCTTGGCATTTATCGAAAAATAAAAAAATGATCCACATCATGATTACATCAGAGAAAAAGTGAAAAGGAGTTGATTATTTATGCACAATTCAAGAAGGTTTCACTCTCTTATTTTGTTATATAAATAATCAATCAATTAGGTGTTAGGTGGTGCAAGTATTATTATATAGATTTGAGTATGGAAATATATATATATATTACGAAAATAGAGATATAGATATATATGTGCGAATGCATGACAAAGGAAATGAACCTACACAGGGGCACAGGAATCAACTTACACTAGACTTTGAAATGGTGAACAAAGTCAGGACATTAGTCATTAATGTACTAGCCTATTGTCAGTTACGGCCTCAATGGAGACATCTTTTTTGGGACACGGGAGTATTAAATAAGTAAGTAAAAGGTGTAATTTTTTTACACTAATCTCCTCTAAGATTTTGTCAACTTACACATACCTTTCATTTTATCTGTCATATTACATTAACCTCCCGATGATGAGAGTAATTGAAAAAGTAAAATTATTAATTTACTCTTACTTATTAATTTATTATAAAAAAATATAAAATATCATGGATGTAAATTACCAATAGTACCCATTTTAAGATTTTTTTTTTTGTTATTTTCTTTCTCCTTTCCTACTGCCGACAAGCCCCCTCACTCTCTCCTCTGTCCTCGGCAGCCATGCTTACTTGCTTTTATCCCATCTCCTTCCAATAAAATGGTTAAGTCATGATTAAAGTAATGAAACAAAATAATAAAAATAATCTTTATCATCCTTTCTCCAAATGGACTTGATTTTCAAGTATTTGGTATATATGATGCAATTGTGCATTTCATGTTAGTGGGGTAGTAAATGGTCTTGATGAAGAAGGTTATGTAAGACTAAGAGGTATGTGAATTAAGTCTCCTAAATACTATGTTAGTCGGAGTTTGTATTTGTGTTAGTGGAAGACATGAGAGTTAAGTCTACTAAAGACTATGTTAGTGAGATTAGTGGGAGTAATTGGGTACTGAAATGTAATTGGTTACATATGTCTTAGAACCTATATAAACTCATGTACTATGCCTATTTTATGAGGGTAGAAAAGTTAAATGAGTAGAAGAATACAATGAATTAGTATAAGTGAAATAAAAAGTGTTTTTCCTCCATTTTTATTCTTTTCCAAGTAATATAGTATTGTGTGTGTAACTAGGCCACTATTTTCAACAAAGTGGTATCAGAGCAAAGTCAGAAAGTGGTATCAGAGAAAAAGCCAACAATCCTTCCTCCAAATGGATGTTTGTTTCTTATATGTTCCCACCTTGTTAGTGGGTTTGTGCTGGAGACGGGTGACATCAACGGAGAAGAGCATGGACGGCGATGTGCTCGATGACGGAGTGTATTGTCAAACACACGGAACGACGGCGATGCAAGGGACTATTCTTACCGGTGGCGAAGAAAGATGTCTTTACCGATGAGCATGGACTAACTAAATCATGGCGAAGCTAGAAGGAACTGTCCCGAGGAGCAAGCTACTGATTTGCAGATGTTGGGACTGTGCTTTACCGGTGATGACCCAAGCAGGTTTGTACTACTGACAGCAAGAGAACTTACCGGCTATCAAGGATTTTACGGCAATGGAACTTACCGGCTTGTTAGCGGTGAGCTTAGAACAACTAAATGGTCGACAAGGATGACGAGACCTTCGATGATGGTGACCGTCAGTGTACTTGGATGACACCGGTTGTAAACTTGCAACACCGCTTATGGGGGCGACGGCCAAGCCGTCAAAATGTTAAGACATCTTCATAACATTTTTTAGTTTGTTCCGGTGAGCCACCAACACACCAAATTTTTGTGGTTGTAGTTTATATCCATTGGGTGTTCTGGTTTATTGATATGAGGGCACCATTGTCATTTTGAATTTATAAGTTAATGATAGTTTTGTAAATTTACAGTGAGTATTGAGGTTAAAAATGTTATTTCAAGTATTAGAAGGGTAAAATTGTATTTTTTTTTCTACTGACATCAGCACAAACCACTAGTTGTTTAATGGCAGGGGAGGTCCGTGTTATCAGTATACAAACTTTGAAGGATGTTAGTATAATTTGACAAACAAGAGTGGAGGTCTGTGTACGTTGATGAAACTTTAAGGGAGGTTAGTGTAATTATTCCTTTTTTATATTTAACATGTATATGTAATTTACACATACCTCCCCTATGGTTTGCCATAATTACAAGCGGCACCCCTCCTGTTTCGGAAATTATGCGGACCTCCCCTACTTTTGAAAATATCCTACACGGACCTCCCTTATGTGTGACGGATCGTTAAATACACTAACGGAGCTGTCAAAATTACTAAAATGCCCTTAATTCTCTATAATAAATGACTAAAGTACTAAAGAGAGAGGGAAAAAGGCGATCTGAGAGTTCTTCGGCTGGGATCACGATCCGCCATCGTAACTCTGCTTCTTCTTCTGTCACATCATGCAAACAATTCATCTAGCCAAAATTGAACCGCCTTGGGCCAATAGGATAAGGGGCAAAGCCTAACACAACTGTTTGAGGTTAAGATTAGTTCAGAACTATAGCTTAAAACAGATCAGTTCAGAACTGTAGCTTAAAGCAAAAAACAGAAAGAAAATCGGTTGTATTTGGTGGCCTGTAGAGAACATCCATGAGAGAGAGAAAGAGGAGAAGTATCATGGTGGATTGTTGTGTGTATATAGTAGCATCCATCAGATCCAAGATTTGCAGAGGTTGCAAATTGAAGTTCAAGAGAAGAAAATTTGAGGATCAAATGATCGGAGGATGCCAGAAAATTTGATAAAAACAGAGACTTTTAAGTTCAAAAGATGTTGGAAAATTGCCGTCGTCCGCAAACCCTGGATCCCAATCCCCATAATCAAGTTTCGAATTCTCTCTCACTCGTGCCTACTTTGGAAAGGGGTTCTTCATCAATACCTCGATTTCAGATCAGACCTTTAATACATGGCATTACACATTATAACGAGCAAACAGTTGTCCTACTTTTCAGCCAGATAAAGCCGAGATCAATTCGAAACATTTAAATCAATAACGACCTTTTTGAAATCTGACATACTCACCCACGACATGTGATAAATTCTCCCAATCTGACATACTCACCAACGGAAATAAATGATGAATTACTGGTGCAATTGACGGTGCCGGTGAGACAAGTATTGGTGCTGCAACAGGCGAGGTTATTGGAGAATACACCGGAGAAAGGGTTACTAGTGCAATTGACGGTGCCGGTGAGACAACTGAGGTTGGAGACAGGACTGAGGAGGAGAAGGTGATTTGGGTGTTATAGCTGGAACCAGAGAACTTACCGGCGGTATAGTCACCGGATATGGAGAAATGGGTGACGTTGCCAGCGGAGTGTGAGACATTGGAGATGGTGACAGTACGGGTGTTGTGGATGGGGCCGACGAAGGGAAGGATCCTGTGGGTGACGGTGACGTTACCGACGGTGTGTGAGATATTGGAGATGGTGTTGTAGCTGAGGCCGGCGAAGGGGAGAACTTTGTTAGTGAAGGTGACGATGCCGGAGTCTGACCCACCGACGCCAGAGGTATGGCCACCGGGGGAGACTTGTGATGGTTTCTGACTGCCAAAACAACAACGATGAGCTTCTGACCCTTTTGGCAATTTTCTTTGTTTCCACTGATGAAAAAGAATGGACCCGACCGATCAAACTTGAAGACTGAATCACCATCGTCCATCTTCATGATCAACTTCTCTGTGTTGCACTTGTCATAATATCATACACACAAGTGGCATACACACACACACACACACACACACACATATATATATATATCAATTGGTAAGGGTAAGGGTATTTTAGGAATTTTACTAAAATTGGTAGATGACGCCATCATTTTTTGTCGTTGACTCTAACATAAGGGAGGTCCGTATAAGATATTTTTAAAAGTAGGGAGATCCGCGTACTTTCCTGAATAAAAAAGATGTCGCCTATAATTACGACAAATCATAAGAAAGGTTTATGAAAATTACCCACATGTATTGATTGGTGCAAGTGTCAAGACATTGGATGTAATAATTTATTTATTTATTTATTTATTTTTTTCTTTCAAAGTTAAACATACTCAAAAGCATAATAGAATTACTTACTGGTGCCAAACAGATCCCAAGAGTTAAAGTGGGGAATTTAAGTCTGGTATGCTGTTGAGGTTGACCATCTGAGTTCCGATCGACTTGATACCAACTTCATCCCGCAGTCAACTCATCTTTGGTTCACAGACGCCTGAATCTCTCTCTCTAGAATGGAAAAGAAGACCGTTAAGTACTCTGTGGCAATCTCTCTCTCTTACACACATATCACACATATATGTGTTGAATTGGTGTTTCGTGTGTGACTCGCTTTGAGTCAAGGCATTAATTTCATTAAATAAAAAGGCAGAAACCATATGGTCGTAATGTTTCTGTAGGTAGTTTGTTAAATTCAACACAGCTTATTGAATTTTTATTAGTCTGGTAACACAATTATCACAGCTTTTTCATCCCAAGTACACAACAATACCAAATAAATCATACAAACTCCCACATCCAATAGTCCTGACAAAAAAACAGAAGTTATTTTAAGATCTTTTATACATGTTTTATTAGTGACTTGATAATTTGGCTCAGCAAAAATATGGGTTAAAGAGAGTGAAGAATATTAATGGTGTTACATTTCGTGTCACCCCTTATGCTACATGGTAGGAGTTTAGCCTTCTTTTTCACCACTTGAATTCTTCATTCAAAAAGAAAAGATTCCTTAAAAAATATCAATCAACTAGGACTGATACTTAACCTGATCATCAAGCAGCCCGTTAAGGAATTTAGAAGTATAACCTTCTTCTCACCAGTCACCATCATGAAAAAGTATGCTAATGTATTTACAATAAGGTTCATGACAAACTGCAAATCAGACTCAAATCACGTTATTCTATGAACTTTGTAATTGTCATTTTATTATTGTCCCGGTTCCTTTTTGGTGATTTCCAAATAGATACTATCCACATTCCGGCACAATTAACTAAAAATAACTACAAAAGGAATACCAGGTGCATATAAGGATCAAACCATTAATGAATAGCAAAAAAGATGGTGGTTCAGCACAATAAAAGGCATAAAATAGAAGATGTTTTAGTTATCATACATTGATGTAGAATCATAAAATCCCTCAAGTAAAAAGTGCTTTACTTGTCACCCATTGATGTAAAATGAAGCAAATCATAATATCAATCAATAACCTGCAAGCAACGGATTTTGCTATTCTTTGGCAACTGCTATTCCATTCGCAATCTGTAACTAATAGCCGATAGCATAAACTCATACAAGATCAGAGACAGGCCTAGAAGCTGTCGATCTAAGAAGAGACAGATAATCACAACCAGCAACTCTTCTGCTTCCGAAGTCGAGAAGATTGAATATGTGTTCCTGCAAAGAAAAATGTCATTCATGCCAGCAATCGAAAGTCCCAAATCAGTGACACTTCAATCCATATAAAGCCATCCAGAGAACATCATATTGCAACTCTACTGTAAGTTAATCTTGGTTGTAAACATGAAATATTTGCAGGTTTCAACATTCAACTAATAAATCAACCATCTAGATCCCCACTTTGTCAATTAAACAAACACCACCAAGTTCATTTGTCACTTACCTTACTTGAAAACAAGCAGCTACATATTTGATCCAAGCTCTGATATTTTGGGGTGGTCCCCAACAGTCGAAATCTAGAAGACAAGTTAGAGTTGTAAAAAACCCACCAACACAAATGTAATAAAACTCTTAGAACTTTCAGAAACAAAAGAAAACACAAAAAGAGTACTGCAAGAAAACAGATCATCAGAATTATATGAGATGAAACCACATCAATGACAGGATATTGGACAGACCAAAATGCTGTGAGAAGAGCCCAAAACTGGGTGTGACAAGACCACAACACATCAATGCATTGTGCAACCCATTTCAGTTAGAAGCATGTCAATGTTACTTGTCCTAAAGAAAGCCATATGTAGTAAGAAGCATGTCTCAATGATATAAACTGCTGAAATTCAAAACCCCTTCAGAAGTAAAATATGTTTGTTGTATCATTTGGAAATTGACTATGTGTTACTGTCAAGGAAATTGACATCACTTCAATGCAAAAATTGGTATATATGTCGGCGCAGGGGATAAGGACACTAGTAGTATAATGGGCTTTACAAGAAGGCAGGAGATACCACTCAAGCTAGTGATGGGTGGAAGAACTATAATGGACTTTTGCAAACTACACACCAAAAAAAGTCGTAAATTACTGGCACCCTTGTTGCTTTTGTTGGAGAATAAAATAATCCAGATATCTTCTCATAAAGCAAGATTAGACAATTAAGAAACACCAAAAGAACATACTGAAACAAAAGAGATCTTCATAATCATATAAGATGAAACCACATCAATCACAGGATATTAGACAAACCAAAATGGTGCCAATAGAGCCCAAAAGCGAGAGTGATAAAACTCAGCATCATCAATGCATATTATTTGTGCCACCCATTTCAGTCAGATGCAAGTTACCTTACACTGTTGAACATACCCAATGTAGTCGAGACATTGATTAATCTCTGAGCGCAAAAGGGATTCAGCCCAGCAGAGCAGAGTTTCACTTGTTGCTCATCTGGTATCCTTTCTACTGCCATTTTATATATAATTTTAACTTGGCAGGTCCTTCTGGTGCTACCACTGTTACCGTACACATCCACTCTATGGATTGATAATAAATACACCTCTTTTACCCTTTAATAAGAAGAGTGAGATTGAAGAAGAGATAATAATTGCATCAATTTTACAGAAAATACCTGGACAGGGTGATTCAGGGCTTGCCTAAAAAATCTTCATTTATAAGTAGTCATCAGCTAAATGGGGTAGCTCCATTAATCGGAATTAATAATAAAGGTTTGTAACAGAACGAAAGTACATTGTCTTGTATGAAGTACTTAAATTGATAGAAAAAATACAAATTCAGTACATTAAAGTCACAATTAACAATTGATTTCTAGTACAAGGAATTAAATTAGCCTATATTTCAGAAGTTTCAATGAGAAATCACAGGACTATTTCCAATGGCCAAGCTCTTCAATCATGTCGTACATGAAAGATGGAATTAACTCCAAAATCTAACACAAAAGAGAACCTTCCATTACAGTGACAGCATTTCCTCGAAGCAGCACTCTCTCGTTCTTCTCATCTAAATGCAGATTTACTATGCCTCCTCTAGGTGATGCCTGAGACAATTAACAATGCCATTAATATGAAGCAAATGTTGGTGATGATGATGATGATGAAAGAGAGAGAGATTACTTGATATGCAACAAAATCACACTTCCCCAGCTTTTTGGACCAATAGGGTGCCAAGGCACAATGTACACTCCCACACACAGGATCCTAGAAAGTCAAGACAAGCCATACGACATATGAGTGTCCATTGAAACTACACAAAGTCCAGATAACTATTTTGGGGGAATTCTTTACTTCTGAATACTACCATTACCTAACAATAATCCAGCTATGGACAATCATTGAAAACAAAACAAAATATAGGTTATGTAGATGATTCTGGTTTGGAAATGAAACTAATCTTCAAAAAATATAGAAAAACAAAAATTACATGTTGTGCAAGTTGCCAAGATGTGGAGCTTTCGTTATAGTGTTGTAGTGCTAAATCAGGATTGGATTAAGAATCTGAAAGTTTGAGGTTCGACAACTCCCTCACTCTTTCATATTTGGCATTTTCTTTCCAGTTTTCATGCTTCGCGAAGCAAACGTGAACATAAAGTCCTTGCAAGACTATTACAGAATTGAATGCATCTTTTGCTGCTTGCTTCACAATTATAAATATGTACAATGGTTTGAGGCCAAAATTCAACATATTACCTCATTGATACCCAATTTTGGACAGAAAAATCGACTGATAAAGTCGAACCCAGATCCAGGTGAAGCCAGCCCTGAAACAATAATTCCACTTCCAGGACATTTTTGTATCTCGTCAAATTGTGGCTGTAAATCTGCAACCGCTTTTCCCGATGAGAGCACAACCTGCCATGTACAGTAACTATCAGTCTCTTTCGAGTACAAAGAATCCATAAATAAGCTTGGAGAACATTGAATCTTGTTCCAGAAGCACCATGTGACACTAAAGTTTGGGGATGCATGCCAACTATTATGACCTTTGTTCTGAAAATCATAACAGGGACAGTTCCCATCATTTGGTTTTATAAAATGCAACCATTAGCTATTTCAATTTTTACATAAAACAAGAAGTGACATACTTGTGCAAGTAATAAATAAAGAATCAAAAGCCAGATGGAATACGTACAAACAGATCATCTCCAGTAGTCTTCTTTATCTCCATCACAGGAGCACCATCCAAGGCTTTAGAAAGCAACAAGACTTCAGCACAGTTGAACTCAACAGTTGGTACAATTGGAAAATCCAATTCAATGAAAAAGCACTTGTGTGCTTCACCATTCTCAAACGTCAATGAATCTGATCTTTGGGCCACTGGAACTCTTTTAGCAGTCAAAATTCCAGATAGTGTCAAAAACTCGATTTGGTTGGCATTAACTAAACCAGAAGTGAATAGGAAGTGCGAAGCTGCTAAGGTTGCATGACCGCAAAGTTTAACCTGAAAATAGGCATGAACCTTTGCAAATTAAACTACAAAATATTAACTATAACCCCCAATTGACTGAAGAATCAACTCAACAGCGAAGGACCATCAGTGTTACAGTTTACCATAATAATTTTGTGTCTGAAGAATCGCAAAAACAACACTCTCTTAATTCAAATGTGAAAAAAGAAAAGGAATCATGTATTTAAGAACACTATAAATCATAATAATAACATAGCTAAAGGAGAGAGTAATTTCATATTCTGATTCTTGTGTGAAATTCAAAGGATAAGCATTATTTAGCAATATATTCTTGAATTTTTGTTTTTTTGGTTCCAAACAAACAATAACAACGGGAGGCTTGAAAAAGAGAAAGGTGGAGCAGACCTCAGCGACAGGAGTGAACCATCTGAGACGGAACTTATTAGGGTTTATAGTTACATCGGACGATTCTTGAATACTGGACTCCGATTGAGTGAGCCGAGACAAGTAACACGTCTCGGAGATGTTGAACTCCGATGCAACTGATTGCAACCACTCTTCGTCCCTCTCTTCTTCTAACCAACAAACCGCCGCTGGGTTTCCTTTGAAAGGCGCCATATGGTCATTGAACAAATGAATAAATTCTTGGTTCTTTAAGATGGGCTTTTCTTATTCCTTTTCTCCCTTTCCTCTCTTGTTTTTGCTGATTACATGATTTGAATACAGAGTCCCCAAGGATGTGAACTCCATCAGAATTTTGGAGAGCATTTCAGGAGTAGATGCACGCAGCAAACATCTGAGGAGTATGGTGGCGTTTCAAATACTACACACTTGTTTTGATAACCAGGTAGCCCATATCCTTGTGCAATTACAGATCAAATATGTGTGCTTACACATAAGATCCCACAAGATGTTTTGGTTTTATCAGCAATTTTTTTGGTATAATTTCGTAGTTTCAGTTGATTGCTTTAAATAAATAGTAACCTGATTTAACTCTCTTTCTCGGTAGGTAAACACACACACACACACACACACACACACCTGGACTTGGGTATGTGGTTAGTATGTATTGAAGCATGAAACATAGCATATTCCCGAACAGAAGTGCACAGTGACTGCTAAATATTCACATTATCTCAATTCAACCCAAAAATAAATAGTAAAATAATTTCTTTATGTTACATAGTGTGTAATATAGGCATTTCATTTGTCTGAAGCAATAATATAATAAAATTGAATAATTGGATATGCTTTTTATTTGCATGTTTAACCAAAATTATCGGACACATATCCCATACTTATGTCCAAGTATTGTGTGTAATATAGTTTGTCAGAAGTGTACAGTGACTACTTTTGAAAAGTCCATGTAACATACCATGAACCCACTCACTGTTACCCAAATGGGTACTTGATCCATCCACCTCTTTTGTGGGAGAAGGAGATGCCACTAGAGCTAAAGCCTTAATGATATCTCAATTCAACTCAAAAATAGTTTGTCGTCTACTTTATGTGGGTTAACAAACATCCATCATCTCTTCTCCACTCCTTGTAAAGGTGGATCCTTTTGTCAAATCAATTATGCGCTTTTATCGTATAATTCAGCTCAACATCTATGCCAGCTAGACAAGCCTCCTGATATTCCAATTTGTTTCTTCTATAATATGTTAATTATGATTTACATTTATATATTTCCTTGTCATCTCCTCAGGATACTGAAGGAGAAGAGATCCTGAGACGGCTTGTCTCGATAAATGTGAAAGACAAAAATTGTGATCTTTTTAAAATGTATGTTTACTTGGTTCTTATTGAGAACTGGCTGTTATATAATCATATGTTGGAAGACAAGCCAGTGATCTACGAATTGTGGAGTGTTCTTCTGAGAAATTGTTCTTGTCAAATAACCAGCACAGATTTAAGGTCGTATGCATTAAAGGTGTGCAACTAAGTGTACTCTGCTTGCTCTATTATTTCTTGAAATTATATATTTCTTTTTCCAATGCAGGTCCGGAGCAAGGCTTCTTATCTGCTACAAGGCACTGGCAACAAATGATTGTTGTTAAGTAAGAACTTCGCTAAACTGCTACTTATCACCAAATAGTGTAATTAATCTGAGATTGGTTCATTCAGCTATTGCAAGGAAATTCAATGGGAAAATCGGTTCAAACCTCAAAAGGATACCTAGTGATGGACTTCGAATCAACTTTTTTTTTTTTTTTTGTTGAGTTAGAGAAGTGAAATGTGTTTAACAGACCTTGAAGTATATGAGATTAGTTGCTACAGATTTTGTGTGGTGTGACTTGCTGCTCATTCATTGCATTACTCTTGTAGTTTTTGAGCTCGGAACTCTTTTAATATGCATGCCCTTCTATTTTTGGGCCAAATTTAGAGCATCCGTGTCTGTCCCTCGGGATATTGTTGGCACTAAGAACTTCTCATGATGTATAACCACATTAGTTTTATAATTCCCGATCTTTTTATTTTTATTTTTTATTTATTTATTTTTATTTTTTGTATCTAAGTCATTGCTTTTGTTGACCTGTCGAGGTATTTTGTATTCTCCAAATTAACGTCTTTTTTTCTTTTTTTTTCCCCGAAATGGGAAGCTGATTCTCCAAATTAACTTTTCTAAAATGGATTATTTGAAGAATAGTTGGGATTTCCGGAAGAAGATGACGTTCGTTTGATTAGAATTGAGAAATAAAAAGGAATATAGAAAATTTAAATGCCAAAGCTGAAGCAGTTTTTCTTTTGGCCTAATATTGAAACGAGGCACTAATGAAACTTACTGCAGACAATAAGTATTCCTTTTATTGTTGAATATAAATGTTCTTATTTGAAAATTGATATTTCAGCAAATAAACTAAAATATACCGAATCAGTGCAAGAGTGCAGGAGCAATAACACATTGACTAAAATTGTGTGACATAGCCAATAAGTTGTATTAATTACAACCACCTTATCCAAAAGCATTTTCTCATTATCTTATCGGAAATAAAATAACAGACACGATAAAAAAATAAAGGATACGGATAAAATTCTAATATTTAAAAATTCTCAATATAGTATTTTATTTTAAATATTCAATACAGTGTCTTATTCTGTATTTAAGTGATAAGGACATTATTGGATGTTTAAAATTTTAAAAGATTTCAAAACATATATATATTTTTTTATTACCACTTAAAAGTTTTTAATACTTAAAATTCAGCTTATTTTCAGTTTTATCCAATTGACTTCCCGTGGCCAAACAGATCCCAATTATAAAAGGAAAACTGAGTGAGTTACCTGAGACCAACTTCATCCCGCGAATTTTCTCTCTCTAAAATGGGAAAGAAGACCGCTAAATACTCTGTGGTAATCTCTAACTCCGTCCGTCTCTCTTACACACACGTATTGAATTAGTGTTACGTGTGCGACTCAGTTTGAGTTTTGGAACAGGTGGATGCGTTCACCGACTCGCCTTTCAAAGGAAACCCAGCGGCGGTTTGTTTGTTAGAAGAAGAGAGGGACGAAGAGTGGTTGCAATCAGTTGCAAGTGAGTTCAACGCCTCCACAACGTGTTACTTGACTCGGCTCACTCACTCCGAATCTAATATTCAAGAATCGTCCGATGTAATTATAAACTCTAATAAGTTCCGTCTCAGATGGTTCACTCCTGTAGCTGAGGTCCGCTTCACTTTTCTCATTTTTAAGCCTTTGTTTATAAACCCTAGTGTTTGATTGGAACCAAGAAAACAAAGTTTCAAGAATTTGCTCAATAATGCTCATTCTTTCAATTTCACACAAGAATCAGTATATAAAATTAGTCTTTTCAATAACTATCTGTAATTATGATTTATAGTGTCTTAAATACGTGATTCCTTTTCTTTTTTCACATTTGAATTCAGAGAATGCTGTTCTTGTGTACTGAATTACCACTTCTGATTCTCCTGACAAATAATAATAATAATAATAATAAATTTATTATTGTACTATAACACTTTGATGTTCCTTTGTTATTGAATTGGAAGGGAAAAAGTGATGTGGGTTAGTAAATGGGTTGACATGTATAGGTTACCTCTTTAATTTTTAGGATCCAGTTTATTTTTGCACTTGGATTAGTTATTTTGCAATTAATCCGAGTAGAATTATTGGTTATCTTTCTATCTTGGTTATCTTTCGATCTTGGCGAGGAAGGATTAATTTACATTCATTTATATGTAAAGAGTGGTATATGGTAACTTACATCCCACCGGTGCCTCAGTTGATTCTTATAGTTAATGTGTTATAGTTTAATTTGCAAGAGTTCATGCCTATTTTCAGGTTAAACTTTGCGGTCATGTAACCTTAGCAGCTTCGCACTACCTATTCACATCTGGTTTAGTTAATGGCAATGAAATCGAGTATTTGACACTATCTGGAATTTTGACGGCTAAAAGAGTTCCAGCTGCCCAAAGATTAGATTCGTTGATGTTTCAGAATGGTGAAGCGCACGAGTGCTCTTTCATTGAATTGAATTTTCCAATTGTACCAATTATTGAGTTCACCTGTGCTGAAGTCTTGTCGCTTTCTAAAGCGTTGGGTGGTGTTCCTGTGATGGAGATAAAGAAGACTACTGGAGATGATCTTTTTGTACGTATTCCATCTGGCTTTTGATTGTTTATTTATTACTTGCATAAGTATGCCACTTCTGGTTTTATGTAAAAATTGAAATAGTGAATGGGTTGCATATTATAAAACCCTGGGAACTGTCCTTGCTATGATTTTCATAACAGAAGGTCATATTAGTTTGTAATGGTATGCATCCCCAAACTTTTGTGTCTCACTGTGCTTCTGGAACGAGATAAAATGTTCTTCAAGCTTATTTATGGATAGTTTGTACTTGAAAGAGACTGATAGTTATTGTACATGGCAGGTTGTGCTCTCATCGGGAAAAGCGGTTGCAGATTTACAGCCACACTTTGACGAGATACAAAAATGTCCTGGAAGGGGAATTATTGTTACAGGGCTGGCTCCATCTGGATCTGGGTTCGACTTTATTAGTCGATTTTTCTGTCCAAAATTGGGTGTCAATGAGGTAATATTTTGAATTTTGGCCTCAAACCATTGTACATATTTATAATTGTGAAACAAGTAGCCAGAGAGGCATGCAATTCTGTAAAAGTCTTGCAAGGTACTTTATGTTAACTTTTGCTTCGCAAAGCATGGAAACTGGAAAGAAAATGCCAAATATGAACGAGTGAGGGAGTTGTCCAATCTCAAACTCTCAGATTCTTAATCCAATCCCGATTTAACACTACAATATTATTAAAGAAAGCTCCACATTTTGGCTACTTGCAAAACATGTTATTTTGTTTCTCTATATTTTTTGAGGACTGTTGTTACATATCTCTCGTCATTTGGGGACCCTTTTTAAACATGTTACATATCTCTCCACATCTTGGCTACTTGCAAAACACGTTATTTTGTTTCTCTATATTTTTTGAGGACTGTTGTTACATATCTCTCGTCATTTGGGGACCCTTTTTACCTCTTTGAGCTTCTATTGAATTGAGAAATAGGTTTGATTGTACATCTTTTTTACTGTGAAAGAGTAGAGTGAATGAGATAGATAACAAATTTGGAACCGCTAACGAAAAAATGTATAGTTAGGAAGGCAAATGGGCTTTTTTGGGGATAGAGCGACTTTTACCCTTGCGATTTCTAAAATCCTCTTACTATAAATTTCATTGTTGTCGGTATTGACATGTAGAATGGGACTCGACTTTAACCCTCGCGATTTCTAAAATCCTCTTACTATAAATTTCATTGTTGTCGGTATTGACATGTAGAATGGGACTCTATCTTTATTTTCGTTATTAATAAGTTCTCCAAAAGATCTATCAGACTATTGAGTGAATGATTTGATCAATGAATATCTGATTCTTTCTTCAATTTTTCATATAAAAAAATACAGATTCGTGTCGGCAGTAATCATTTGATATAATATTTCAGTATGTATATGTATGTATATAGTTTCATCCTTCAGACCCTGCTTTTCCCTTCCCAGCCTTTGTCAGATTTAATTTAAACCAGAATCATCTGCATATCCTATATTTGGTTTTCTTTTTCAATGATTGTCCATAGCTGGATTATTGTTAGGTAATCGAAGTATTCAGAAGTAAAGAATTCCTACAAACTAGTTATCTGGATTTTGTGTAGTTTCAATGGACACTCGAATGTCGCATGACTTGTCTTGATTTCCCAGGATCCTGTGTGTGGGAGTGCACATTGTGCCTTGGCACCCTATTGGTCCAAAAAGCTGGGGAAGTGTGATTTTGTTGCGTATCAAGTAATCTCTCTCTCATCATCATCATCATCTTCACCTACATTTGCTTTATACTAATGTTATTGTTAATTGACTCAGGCATCTTCTAGGGGAGGCATAGTAAATGTGCATTTAGATGAGAAGAATGAGAGAGTGCTGCTTCGAGGGAATGCCATCACTGTAATGGAAGGTTCTCTTTTGTGTTAGATTTTGGGGTTAATTCCATCTTTCATGTATGACATGATTTAAGATCTTGGCTATTATTGTTGGAAACAGTCCCTTTGCTTTCTCGTTGAAACTTGTGAAATCTTGGCTAAATTAATTACTTGCACTTGGAATCATTTGTAAATTCCGACTTTAATCTTCTTTCTATCTATTTAAGTTCTTCATACATGACAATGTGCTTTCGTTCTATTACAAACCTTTACTATTAATGCCAATGAATGGATCTATGATCTATCCCACATTATAAACAAAGATTTTTTGAGGCAAGCCCCCAATCACCCTATCAAGGTCTTTTCTGTAAAATCTGTGCAATTATTATCTCTTCTTCAATCTCACTCTTCTTATCAAAGGGTGAAAGAGGTGCATTTATTATCAATCCATGGAGTGGATGTGCACGGTAACTGTTGTAACACCATAAGGAACTGGCAAGGTAAAATTGTGTACCAAATGGCGGTAAAAGGATAACGGATAGGCAGCAAGTGGAATGCTGCTCTGCTGGGCTGAATTCCTTTTGCGCTCAGAGATTAATCATGTCTTGATACAATGGGTATGTTCAACAGTGTAAGGTAACTTGCCAAAGTCTCATTCACTCTTGCCTAATTTCTCTTTTGATTATGGCATTACAACATTTACTTATCTATTTAATACATCTTTACTATTTTTTTCATTGATTTAAAAGAAAAGTTCATATTCTTGACATTATAGTAAACCTTTTGAACTTTTACACCTATGAGAAATTTTTTTTTTTTTTTTGAATAGCAGCAAATAGCCTTCAATATTTATAATTACTTCGACTTATCAAAAAAATATATATATTTATAATTACTTCAATATTGATTGTTTGATTCTATTTCTGATTTTTTATTTTTATCATTTTGTTGTGACACATGAAAGCACAATATTTACAGTTTAAATCTATTGTAGCACCAATTTGTTCTCTCAAGTGTAAATCGTAGGTCGGGTGTGCTGTGTAGCCCAGTTGGTGGGCATGCTCTGCTTTGTGGTTTGGGAGCCAGGAGCCTTGGTTTGAGCCACCCATCAAGCCCCCCCTCCCCCTCCCCCTCCCCTCCCCCTCCCCTCCCCTCCCCTCCCCTCCCCTCCTCCTCCTCGCCAGCTTAAAAAAAAATTGTAAATCGTAGGTCGAGCTGAACTGCTGAAGTTAACTATATACCTTTGCGTGAGAGAGAGTTGGGATTACCTAACTAACTCACCTTGCAATAACCATTCTAGCATTTCCCATTTTATCAAAAGAGAAATGAGGCTTAGCTTAGTGGGAGGCTGCTGGGAGCACAATCCAAAATCATAGAGGTCAGAATAGTCTATAGATGGTGGTGCATTTTAATTGGACTTCACAGGACCAGATAGGGTAGGTCTAACTACTTTTTTCTTAGATTAATTTCTTATTTTACCGCTCATTGTAGTTTACAATAATCAGTTCTTGGATGAACAAGCGTTGAAAATCTATGTTGGAAGTGATTTCTGGAACAATCATTCACCACTGGCTATCTAAAAAGTATAGGAATAACTGTTGTGCTATTTCTTTTCCCAAAAAATGTAAGGGGGAAGAGAAAAAGACAAGAAGAGGATAGTCGTCGTCAAATTTATATCTCAAAATAAGATTGTTCTAGTTTCTAATTCAAGTTATGTAACTGTTCCATAGGCACCGGAGCAAGTAAACTAATGTCACATACAGCCTTACAAAAATTATCTATATTGCTTGTTATGATGATTTTATTTTTTCACTAATTCCTCAATTTTGTTTTTGGAGATTTAGATTACAAACTGCTAGTTAGCTCATATGATGTTGCATTTCTAGCCTCATTTACTAATTGTGTTATTATTTTTGGTTAATCTGCATTGCGCTCAGTGTTGCTTAATTAGTTAGTTGGCTCTGTGTTGTAGCACTTGCCTGTCTGTGATCTTTGATTGAGCATATGCTATCAGCTATTAGTTTATTTACAGATGGCGAATGGAATACCAATTAACAAAGAAAAGCAAAATCCATTGCTTGAAAATTATTGTTTGATCTTATTATTTGCTTGGTTTTACATCAATGGATGACTACCAAAGCACCTTTACTTGATGGATTTTATGATTTTACGTCATTGTGTGCTAACTAAAACATCTTCCATTTTATCTATTTTATTTTGCTAAACCACCAGCTTTTTTGCTATTCATTAATGGTTTGATTCTCATATGCATCTGGTATTCCTTTTGTAGTTATTTTTGAATATTTGTGCCATAATGTGGATATTATCTATCTGGACAATCACCAAAAAGGAACCGGGACAAGAGTAAACTGACAAGTATGAAGTTCATAAAATAATGTGATTTGACTCTGATTTGCTGTTGGTCATGAATCTTTATGTAAACACATTAGCATCCTTTTTTTCTTTTTGAATAAAGAATTCCAGTGGTGAAAAAGAAGGTTAAACACCTACCATGTTGCACAACGGGTGACACAAAATGTAACACAATTAATATTCTTCACTACTATATAACCCATATTTTTGCTGGGCCAAATTCTTAAGTCACTAATAAAACGTGTATAAAAAAATCTTGCTATAACTTGTGTTGTTTTGGCAGGACCATTGGATGTGGGAGTTCGTATGATTTATTTGGTATTGTTGTGAACTTGGGATGAAAAAGCTGTAATAATTGCATTACCAGACTAATAAAAATACAGTTGTGTTGAATGTAACAAACCACTGACAGAAACATTACAGCCATATATGGCTTCTGCCTTTTGATTTAATGAAGTTAATGCCTTGCACACTTTCATATGGTCATTGAACAATTGAATAAATTTATTGGTTGGGGGAATGTATGATGAGTTTGTAGAGGAAGTTTTTATCCCCTTTAAGATGGGCTTTTCTTATTCCTTTTTTTTTTTTTTTTTTTCAATTTTCTCTCTCATTTATGCTGATTATATGATGTTGTGAATACAGGGTCCCTAAGGATGTGAACTCCATGTGAATTTTGGAGAGCATTTCAGGAGTAGATGCAAGTAGCAAACATCTGAGGAGTACGGTGGCGTTTCAAATCCTTCTCACTTGTTTTGATAACAAGGTTGCTCATATCCTTATGCAATTGCAGGTCAAATATGTGTGCTTACATATAAGATCACACAAGATGTTTCGGTTTCATCAGCAAGTTTTTGGTATAATCCCGTTGATTCATGCGATTGCTTTAAATAAATAGTAACCCAATTTAACTCTCTTCTTGGTAGGTAAGTGCACACACCTGAACAACTCACACACCCACCCACCCACCCACCCCTGGACTTGGGGTACGTGACCAGTATGTATCCAAGCCTGAAACATAGCATATTCCCGAACAGCATTGCACAGACACTGCTAAATATTCACATTATCTAGTGTTCCTATTTCATTTTATAGTGTAAAATAATGTTTTGTGTTACCTAGTGTGTAATATAGGCATTTCACATGTCTGAAGCAATAATATAATAAAATGAATAATTGGATATGCTTTTTAGTTGCATGTTCAATTAAAAGTATCGGACACAAATACCATACTCATGTCCATGTACTGTGTGTAACACGGCTGCTTCTAAGTTCTAACTACTTTTAAAGAGTCCACGTAGCATACCGAGCTTCAAGAACTCTACATGGGTTTTATTTGAAGAAGTAGCTCGTCAGGATCCAATGATGACTGGATTCTTGGATCATCAAAGACAAGTGACCGAGATCGTTCAGGGTGGAGGAAAGACATTCGTCTTGAGTCCTGAGGTTCCAATACCCTCGAATGAGGAAATAGCTGCTGCTTGAGAGCGATTGCACCCACTCACTGTTGCTCAAATGGGTACTTGATCCATTATCCTCTTTTTCTCATATAATTCAGCCCAACATCCATGGCTAGTTGATTGCATATGCCAGCTAGATAAGCCTCTTGATATTCCAATTTGTTTCTACTATAATATGTTAATGATAATTTCCGTGTATATATTTTCATGTCATCTCCTCAGGATACTGAAGCGGAGGAGATCCCACATTTATTGTGAAGGACAAAAATTATGATCTTTTTAAAATGTATGTTCACTTGGTTCTTACTGAGAACTGGCTTTTATATAAATCATATGTTGGAAGACAAGCCAGTGATATATTGTGCAGTGTTTTTCTAAGGAACTGTTCTTGTTAAATAACCAGAACAGATTTGAAGTTATATGTTAATCGAAGGTGTGCTACTAAACCCTTCTCTTTACTCTGTTTGCTCTGTTATTTCTTATATTATAGATTTCTTTTTCCAATGCAGGTCAGGTTCGTGGTAAGGCTTCTTATCTTCTGCAAGGCACTGGCAACAAATGATTGCTGTTAACTAAGAACTTTGATACTAATTGTGTAACTCAATTAGTTTTATAATGCCTGTTTTATGTATTTGTATCTAAGTCACTGAATTTGTTACCCTGTCTAGGTATTTTGCGTACCGCAAATTTTCTTTTCGAAAATGGAGTGCTTGTGCCGCTCTCTCACTCTCTAGCAGCGAGATTCCCTAATATCGTGCAAAGAACAGTTTGGATTTGTAGAAGAAGTCATTCCTTTATTATAAAAATAAAAAGGAATATCGAATAATTGAATGCAAAATCTGAAGCAAATTTTTTTTTTATTTTACTTTTTGCCTAAATTTGAACTTATTGCAGACAAGAAGTAACCTTTAATGGTTGAATCGGAAGTACTTTGCCTTTTTCTCCCATTTTATGTCTATATATACCAATTTCTCTCTTCCACTCCGTTTATATTCCCTTACTTTTATCTATTTGATCTCTATTGTAAGAGCTTTCTTTGATATGGAACCCATTCCTGTCCTTCACCACATTTATAGTTGGTGTGAGGCATCCCTTAATAGTTACACTGCCACACTTCGCCTCTCTTTCGCTTCATTCTCCGGAAGGAAAAAAAAAATGCCTTCGTTTCTCTTGTGGTTCAGAGGTTGATATGGAACTTGGATCATCTCTATTAGTTTTTCTCTTCAACTCATCATCTAAGGGTTCTAAGAAAAAAAATTATCCACATCATGATTACATTAGAAAAAAAGTGGAAAATGATACTTACACCGGTTGATTATTAGCGCACAATTTAAGTGACCGGAGGATTTTACTCCCTTATTTGTTGTATAAATGATTAATTCATTAAGTATTTAGTCAGCATGTATCATTATTTCCTTATATATATTTTTATTTTTTATTAGATTTGCATATTTCACGAAAATAGAGATATAAATATATATGTGCGAATGCATGTAGTAGGAACCTACACCGAGGGATATCGAAATCAACCTACACTAGAATTTGAAGTGTTGAACAAAGTTACATTACATATATAAATGAAAGAAAGAAACTTGTACCGATTACTTACGTATACACTCCCTCTTCATTTCATAATTTCACCTACCTCCCTTGAGGTTTTGATTTATGTAGCAAATTATCCCCTGTGATTAGGCAATTGGCGGTGTCAGTATGAACAAATTGGTATAAGGTCAATTTTGCCCTTCCAATTCTTGAAATGACATTTTTAACCTCATTGGCCAATGCAAATTTACAAAATTACCATTAACTTATAAAATAAAAAGGATAACTGTGCCTTCATATCACCGAACCCAGAACACCCCCATTCACGGATCGTTTCAACTTTGTAAGTCGCCGGAATTGAGCCCACAGTATTAATCCATGCACCAACAGATGGTGACCAAACAAGTCTGAACGATGTGCAAGGGGGACTAGGCGATGCAAAACGGGAATTGCAGCCACAGAATTTACCAACAAGGACCGACGACGAAGCTGTTTTTACTTGCGCGAAACGGCGAGACTGAATTGACAGGCGATGAGTGATTAAACGGCGGTGAAGAGGACGGCAGACATGCTTCAATGAAGGACGCTGATGAGACTGTTTGGTGGAATGAAATTACCGGCATGAAGCGGGCTGTGACAAGGATGGTGAAGCTTGCGGTTTTAACAATGGTGACGAACTTACAGAGCTAGGCCGGATTCTTCTACAGAGCTTTGGCGTGTCTATGGCCGTTTTGAATTGGGTTTCACCGAGGTGGGTTGAGGAATGGCTGCTCGCCGGACTGAACCGGGTTTGGTCGAACTTAGTTCGCTCTAGCTTTGAGCTTGACTGAATCGCAGAACTGGGTTTGGTATGACTGAATCGCTGTTAGCCGGTCTGAAAAAGGAGGAACCTTAGTTCAGTCCAAACGCCGGACTTCAACGCCGTCAAATCTACGGCTGTGTAGTCGCCATCAAATCTACCTTCGTAACGCTGGATAAGAACGAGGTAAGACGGATCAAAAACGACGACGGCGAAGTTCACAGCTACCTCGACCCAGTTCAGTCCGGTGATCCCAAGTCCGATGAAGCTCAGTTCAGTCCGGCGAAGCTTCGCGGTATGTGGTGGGTGGTCAGTCGTCGTCGTGGTGGGTTGAGGTGGAGAAACGACGAGATCGGTTTTGTAACTCGCCGGAGATCGCTTCACCCAGTTCAGTCTGGCGATCCCTACTCCGGTGAAGTTCAGTTCAATCCGGCGAAGCTCGCAGCGGAGGCTGTGATAAAAAGCAGCGAACTGTCCTTGCAATTGAACGGCGGGCAGTAAGGACTGAAGCTTGAACGACGATGTGTCCTTGCAATTGAACGGCGACTGTCCTTGTAATTGAACGGCGGGCAGTAAGGAGAACGGCTCGGCTGTGATAAGAGCCATCTTTTTCTGTGGTTGCTATCGGTGGCATAGTTTCTTCGTCGCCAGCATTAATAAAGAAAAAAGAAAAAGAAAAAAAAGATATATATAGTGTGTGTATATATGCGTCTGCGAGTAGAGAGAGACATAGAGGGTATTAGAGTCTTTTCATTTTAAGTTATAAATTTTAATATATAATTTAAGGATAAAACAATAAAATCACATTTTTCTGTTAATAAACTAAACAACTGTAACTGACAGGGATGTTGGTGACATTATGAAACGTAAAGGTGGGTATGAAACATTGACAAAGCATAATAGAATTACTTACTGGAGCCAAACAGATCCCAAGAGTTAAAAGGGAAAATTAAGTCTCGTATGCTGTAGACGTTGACTATCTGAGTTCCGACTTGAGACCAACTTCATCCCGCAGTAACTCTTCTTTGGTTCACAGACGCCTGAATCTCTCTCTAGAATGGGAAAGAAGACCGTTAAGTACTCTGTGGTAATCTCTGTCTCTTACACACACATCACACATATATGTATTGAATGGGTGTTTCGTGTGTGACTCGCTTTGAGTTGTGGAACAGGTGGACGCGTTCACCGACTCGCCTTTCAAAGGAAACCCAGCGGCGGTTTGTTGGTTAGAAGAAGAGAGGGACGAGGAGTGGTTGCAATCAGTTGCATCGGAGTTCAACATCTCCGACACGTGTTACTTGTCTCGGCTCACTCAATCCGAGTCTAGTATTCAAGAATCGTCCGATGTAACTATAAACCCTAATAAGTTCCGTCTCAGATGGTTCACTCCCGTCGCTGAGGTCTGCTCCACCTTTCTCTTTTTCAAGCCTCCCGTTATTGTTTGTTTGGAACCAAAAAAACAAAAATTCAAGAATATATTGCTAAATAATGCTTATTCTTTGAATTTCACACAAGAATCAGAATATAAAATTACTCTCTTCTTTAGCTATGTTATTATTATGATTTATAGTGTTCTTAAATACATGTTTCCTTTTCTTTTTTCACATTTGAATTAAGAGTGTTGTTTTTGCGATTCTTCAGACACAAAATTATTATGGTAAACTGTAACACTGATGGTCCTTCGCTGTTGAGTTGATTCTTCAGTCAATTGGGGGTTATAGTTAATATGTTGTAGTTTAATTTGCAGAGGTTCATGCCTATTTTCAGGTTAAACTTTGCGGTCATGCAACCTTAGCAGCTTCGCACTTCCTATTCACTTCTGGTTTAGTTAATGCCAACCAAATCGAGTTTTTGACACTATCTGGAATTTTGACTGCTAAAAGAGTTCCAGTGGCCCAAAGATCAGATTCATTGACGTTTGAGAATGGTGAAGCACACAAGTGCTTTTTCATTGAATTGGATTTTCCAATTGTACCAACTGTTGAGTTCAACTGTGCCGAAGTCTTGTTGCTTTCTAAAGCCTTGGATGGTGCTCCTGTGATGGAGATAAAGAAGACTGCTGGAGATGATCTGTTTGTACGTATTCCATCTGGCTTTTGATTCTTTATTTATTACTTGCACAAGTATGCCACCTCTTGTTTTATGTAAAAATTGAAACAGCGAATGGTTGCATTTTATACAAACCAAATGATGGGAACTGTCCCTGCTATGATTTTCAGAACAGAATGTCATAATAGTTGGCATGCATCCCCAAACTTTAGTGTCACATGGTGCTTCTGAAACAAGATACAATGTTCTACAAGCTTATTTATGGATTCTTTGTACTCGAAAGAGACTGATAGTTACTGTACATGGCAGGTTGTGCTCTCATCGGGAAAAGCAGTTGCAGATTTACAGCCACAATTTGACGAGATACAAAAATGTCCTGGAAGGGGAATTATTGTTTCAGGGCTGGCTCCACCTGGATCTGGGTTCGACTTTATCAGTCGATTTTTCTGTCCAAAATTGGGTATCCATGAGGTAATATGTTGAATTTTGGCCTCAAACCATTGTACATATTTATAATTGTGAAACAAGCAGCAAAAGAGGCATGCAATTCTGTAATAGTCTTGCAAGGACTTTATGTTCACATTTGCTTCGTGAAGCATGAAAATTGGAAAGAAAATGCCAACGACCCACTCCACCACATGGTATGATATTGTCCGCTTTGAGCCTGAGCGGTTCTGTTCTTGAGCTTCACCCCAAAAGGCTTCATACCAATTGGAGGTGACATACTTACATATAAGCATTTCACCTTTCCTCTACCCAGGCGATGTGGGACTGTGCACCTGTAGTTCGCCAGTGTGGTAGCCTGACAGTGTCTCTCGCACCCGCCCACAAGGTCATCACAGAGGGACTTGTCGAACCTCAAACTTTCAGATTCTTAATTACTTATATCGGCAAAAAAAGAAAAAAAATTAAACTTTCAGATTCTTAATCCAATCCTGATTTAGCACTACAACACTATAACGAAAGCTCCACATCTTGGCAACTTGCACAACATGTAATTTTTGTTTTTCTATATTTTTTGAAGATTAGTTTCATTTCCAAACCAGAATCATCTACATAACCTATATTTTGTTTTCTTTTCAATGATTGTCCATAGCTGGATTATTGTTAGGTAATGGTAGTATTCAGAAGTAAAGAATTCCCCCAAAATAGTTATCTGGACTTTGTGTAGTTTCAATGGACACTCATATGTCGTATGGCTTGTCTTGATTTTCTAGGATCCTGTGTGTGGGAGTGCACATTGTGCCTTGGCACCCTATTGGTCCAAAAAGCTGGGGAAGTGTGATTTTGTTGCATATCAAGTAATCTCTCTCTCTCATCATCATCATCATCATCACCAACATTTGCTTCATATTAATGGCATGTTAATTGTCTCAGGCATCGCCTAGAGGAGGCATAGTAAATCTGCATTTAGATGAGAAGAACGAGAGAGTGCTGCTTCGAGGAAATGCTGTCACTGTAATGGAAGGTTCTCTTTTGTGTTAGATTTTGGAGTTAATTCCATCTTTCATGTACGACATGATTGAAGAGCTTGGCCATTGGAAATAGTCCTTTGATTTCTCATTGAAACTTCGGAAATATAGGCTAATTTAATTCCTTGTACTAGAAATCAATTGTTAATTGTGACTTTAATGTACTGAATTTGTATTTTTTCTATCAATTTAAGTACTTCATACAAGACAATGTACTTTCGTTCTGTTACAAACCTTTATTATTAATTCCGATTAATGGAGCTACCCCATTTAGCTGATGACTACTTATAAATGAAGATTTTTTAGGCAAGCCCTGAATCACCCTGTCCAGGTATTTTCTGTAAAATTGGTGCAATTATTATCTCTTCTTCAATCTCACTCTTCTTATTAAAGGGTGAAAGAGGTGCATTTATTATCAATCCATAGAGTGGATGTGTACGGTAACAGTGGTAGCACCAGAAGGACCTGGCAAGTTAAAATTATATACAAAATGGCAGTAGAAAGGATGACAGATGAGCAACAAGTGAAACTCTGCTCTGCTGGGCTGAATCCCTTTTGCGCTCAGAGATTAATCAATGTCTCGATTACATTGGGTGTGTTCAACAGTGTAAGGTAACTTACCAAAGTCCCATTCACTCTCGTCTAATTTCTCTTTTGATATATTTCCATTACAACATTTACAGATCTATTTATAACATCTTTACCATATAAAATAGTTTCATTTGATTGATTTAAAAGAAACGTTCACATTGTTGACATCAAAGTAAAACTTTTTAACTTTAACAAATAATTTGAAAAAAATCCAATAGCCTTCAATATATTTAATTACTTCAATAATGATTGTTTGATTCTGTTTTCTGATTTTTTTTTTTTTTTCATTTCATTTTGTTGTGACGCATGAAAGCAAAGTATTTACAGTTTAAATCTATTGTAGCGCCAATCTGTTCTTTTAGGTGTAAACCGTAGGTCGAGCTGAACTGCTGAAGTTAACTTTATACCTTCGAGTGAGAGAGAGTTGGGATGACCTAACTACCTCACCCTACAAGCACCATTCTAGCATTTCCCAAAAGAGAGACGAGGCTTAGCTTAGTGGGAGGTTACTGGGAGCACAATTTAAAGTCAGAATAGTCTATAGATGGTGGTGCATTTGAGTTGGACTTTACAGGACCAGATATGGTAGACCTAAGTACACTTTCTAAGATTAATTTCTGATTTTACCTCTCATTTTAGTTTACAATAATCAGGTCTTGGATGAACAATTGTAGAAAATCTATGTTGGAAGTGATTTCTGGAACAATCATTCACACTGGCTATCTAAAGAGTATAGGAATTACTGCTGTGCCATTTCTTGTTCCATAAAAAGTAAGGGAGGAGAGAAAAAGACAGGAAGAGAATTGTCGTCAAATTTATATCTCAAAATAAAATTGTTCTAGTTTACCAGGCAAGTTATGTAACTGTTACGTAGGCACCCAAAGCAAATAAACTAATGTCACATACAGCCTTACAAAATTATCTATATTGATTGTTATGATGATTAATGGGTGGATGTAAGCAACCTCACAAAATTTTGAGGTTGACAATGAATGGGTGGATGTAAGCAACCTCACAAAATTAAACAATATTGATGATTACCCCATAATGGTTCCAATCTTTTAACCATGCCTCAATTTGGTTAATGGAATACCTAGAGGATGAACTCCACATGTTATTTAGCATGAAAATGTGAACTCTTGATCAAATATCAAATCTATAATTATTTAGTTTTATTTCACATGTAATAATTTTTTCAACTCCTTAAATTTCCTAAAATGTTTCAAAGGTTGGTTTGTTGATTAGAATTTCCCTTCCTAAGCTTCTCAATTTTATGGAATCACTGAGCTTCAAATTGCAGGGCCCAACTAGTTTGTTGATGAGAATCCAAACATGCATGTTGAGGGGAGCTGCTGGAAATTGTTACCAACGTTGGTTGGATTACGATTTCCCTTCCCAAATATACTTCTTGTTAATATGTGGTTCTATTATAGGTTTTGTGTGTGTGTGTGTGTGTGTGTGTGTTTTCTAAAGCTTATGTACTTGTGTAGGAGTTGTTTTAAACTAAATATGGCATTCGGATATTCCTGAGCCTCAAATTGGGAGTGTTTTTCTTTCATCACACCAATAGTATATAATTGAATTCAAAATATACATATAAAATAGTTGATGCACGTTGGGAATTGAAATCCAATGCATAATGTTCGATGGACTAGTGTAAGCAAAGCAATCACCTTGAATTGTTGATGTTTACTAGTCCATTTTTTGCTGCATACTTATAGGATATTAGCAATTTAGCACATACATACATACATACATATATATATATATATATATATATATATATATATAAACTCAGTTAAACAGAAGAACTTCACTTCAAGAAATTAATGGTAGTAAAGTTAAAGTTAGCACATGCGGTGTTATGAGGCAGAATTGAAGAAGTGAAACCTAGTCTGTTGAGTCCTAGATCAAACTGTAGAAGGTTATCCTCCAACTGATGCCCTCCAATCACGATTGATGTCCTTGGATTGGCCCCACCGTCCACAAAGCCAAGACACCACACATCAGCATCGCTTCTTGCGATCCTGATCATTGAATTCCATCCAAATATCCTCCAAAACACATCGTCACTCTGCATCACAAGATCTACGGTCGGAACAGCCGGTCCCACACGCGTACTTAAAACATCAGCCGCTGAGTAACACACGGTGAACGGCTTCACCGCATCTGTTACGGTGAGGTTCAGCCCAGCGGATTCACTAACAAACGCCTCAGTAAAAGCCTTGTACATCGAAGTCTCCAAAACAGTATATGGAGTAACGGTGCTGATTTTGGTCCCACCGATGCCATTCTGATCGACGGTCAGTAGTGTGGCATTCAATTGCACGGCCTTTCCGTTGACTTTTACTGAAGTAACACCTATAAAATACTCATCCGAGGGGTGCAAGTAGGTTATTATGGTGCTCCCGGCTGGGTTTACTATCAGTGGAGTGTAAATAAGTGATTTGGAGAGGTCAATTTCGGGTGAGAAATAGTAGGGCCCATTAGTATTGAAAAAACCAACCCCAGGTGACGAGGCTGAACCGGACAGGCACAGCGCAAACACGCAAGGCAAAGAGAAGTCGGTGCTAACCTGCGCAGGGAGCGACAGGTTCGATCTACCCAGACCGGCTAAACCGGTAACTCCCTTGGCGAGACCTTGGAGTAAAGACGTGTTGGAGCAAGAGAACACGAACTCGGGCACGTGGCTGAGTTGACCCGGGTTGCGACCGTCCGTGGTGGGCAAAGCGAGCGAGTCAACAAGGGACTCGGCTAAGATGGACTGCTGAGTCACCGGGTTTTCCGGGAAGAGCGCGCAGGAGTTGTTGGCGCAACCCGGAGCGGGCGGGTTGAAACAGTTGGAGCAAGCGTGCGGGTCGAGGGATTCGCAGAGTGAGGAATTGCAGGGGAGGGAATGGTAAGTGGAGGAAGTGTATTTCTGTGTGCAATCCAGCCAAGTGAAGGAGGAGCCGAGGTGGAGGAGTAAATTGGTGGGTTGCGGAGGGGTTTTGAGGTAAAATGTGACGGTGTACTGACGGGTAGAGTGGTCTTTTGTGATGGGAGTGAGAAGAGCTGAATGAGAAGAAGAAACAAAGAGAAAGAAGAAGATGGTGAATGGAAGAGACATTTGTATTGTAGTATTTCTCTATATGGAAAGTGACACTGAGAAATTGAAATGCAGTGGTTGAAGTCAAGTAGAAGGGAATGAAGGATGTTACCGACAATGGCAGACACTAATAATGAACTACTTTTACCTTTTACCCGAAAAAGAGTAAAAAGTTTTACAAAATTTAATTTGACCACGTCGTCATCTATTTGATGAAAATAAAATGAATTACTGTATAAATAGTGATAATTGATTATAATCACTTTTAAAATGGGTCATAAGATAATTATATATAATTTATTTATATCATGAAGGATTTTTTATGTATAATTTATCATGATATTAGGATAATGATATAAGGTGAAGTTCTACCGCTAACCCTAACATATGGATTAATGGGTCAAACTAAATTACCGAATAAATCCTGACCCACTTCTAAAATGGGTCATAAGATAAATTATACAGAATTTATAAATAATTATCATGAAGGATAATTATGTATAATTATTATGCTATCAGGACAATGATCAAAGGTGACGCAAGTTACAACTATACCCTCAACGAAGCCTAGAGGGGTGGAGAATGAGTGAACAACAATACTCAAGAAGGGATAATATTGGAACTCTTTCACACGTAATTTTTATTAACCCTCAATATTCTCTCTTCAAAAAATTTGAAGACGAATAATAATAAGCACATTCAAAGTTCTGTCGTTCTTCGATTTAACAAGTTCAAGCACACCATTTGAGATTAAGCCTCCACGCTCACAATTGGAAATTAATTTAAACTTTCTTCATTCTTCAAAGATTTAAAGGAAGTTCATCACAATCGGTTCAAGATCAAGCATTGAAGGCCTTGTATCAACAAACAAAAATAATTTACCAAAACTCCAACTAATGTCTTAATGAAGTTTTACTAGAACTATAAATAAAGTTTTCTATACCTGATATATTAACTTACCTTAACTTATGTGTTATTTAAGTGATAAATTAAGTATAGCTTCATTAATACTAAGTTAATTACATCCACACTTATACTAATATAAATAGAAGGCCTACGTAACCTACTAAACACACATTCTCAATATAAGATGTATACTCTCTAAACTAGTTATTTAGAGTGAAGGAAAAGAGATTTGAAAAAGTGTTTTCAAACTATTGAGTTTGAGTGTGTGAATTTTATACTTTCAGTTGATCAGTCGAAGATAAATACACATGTTCCCAATGAGAAGTGCCACCTTCATAAATATACATATTTTATATCTGGGCTTAGTTGAATTTCGGAGATAGTGCTGACATTTGTCTTCCGTTTGCACATGTGAGATGCTTCAACTATCTTCAAGCGATTACGTGCCTCTAAGCCTTAATACTCCCCATTTCAACATATTAGTTCCAACATTATCTTCATTTTCTACCCAAATCAAATACTAGTCCAACGAAGTTTGGAAGATTTTTATATTTTTATATTTTATAGACGATGGCGGTGTGGGACCTCTTAAAGTACTCCATAATCCACCACTGGGTATATGCAATCCTCCCGTTCCACATGGACCAAGCAATTATGAGAAAAATTTCTTGAGAATGGCCCTAATGGTAGAGACGAACATAAAAAATTAGGTGATGCGGGCGACATTCAACAATAAGAAGATAAAAAATGTTGTGGAGGCAATGGTGGGTTTTTTTTTTTTTTGTAATTTTAGTGGAGAAAATTTAAAATATTATAGCTATATAATACCCAAAAAACATATAAAAATCAATTAATGGGGGCATTAATAATGGCCCCATTGACTTTCAAATATGTCCGTGCCTATTAAAGGGAATTCAAACTCCCAACCTTTTACATAAGGGAAGTGGTGAGGGGTTAGGCAAAGGGGAAGAGGAAAGGAGGGAGAATCACGGCGAACACAAAAATTTATGTGACGGGTAATAGAGTGATTTTTTTTTTTTTTTTTTTTTTTGTAATTTCAAGGGGGTAATATGAAAATTTCATAAGTATGTGTTGAACACTACAATAGGTAGGGAAGGGCATAGGGGTTGTTTCGTCATATGATTTTGTTAGGAAGAAGGTGGAAGAAGTGTAAGAGGATTTTTTTTTGTTGGGCAATTGGCATTTCCCTTCTTTTATGGAGTAAACAAAGAATAATTTTTTTACCAAACCGGTACCCTTTGGGTGGTGAGAGACAGAAGGATACTCGAGTTTTTTTAATTTCAATGAAACCAATACCAATTTCTACATGGCAACCCAAGTCTTAACTTTCAAGTTATAGGTAACTCATTTTAAATCCAAAATAGGGTAGAGTGCACTAAAGCCCCCTGAGCTATGACCCAATTGCAAGAAACTCCCCTGAATTAAGTAAAAACCCTAAACTATCATTCTGTTGCATATATGCCCAAATCGTTAATAAGGCATTAACAGAAAAGTTAAATTACTGTTTAACCCTTAAATTAAATGATGTCATTTTGATTTCTATCCAACTTTAGCTGATGATGTGGTAAATAGTAGGTTTATTGTACAAAAATACCCTTACTTTGAATCTACCACCTCATTATAACCTGGGTGTTTATGTAATTTTAATTATTTAATTACTCCAACTTTTATTTCCTCTCACGCACCTCTCTCATCTCCTCTCATCCCCTTAACGTCTTTTGCAAACCCTAATTACACGCCGTGGCCGCCATGCCTAGAACAACTCCACCGTCGGCAGAGACCACGAGAACTACGACTACACAAAGGTTGCAAATATCAACCATCGGTCTAGGCTCTGATGGCCGGATCTTTCTCGGCGTCAACCTCGAATTCCCCGGCCTCCCCTTCCACCACAACGTCAGCGCCGAGCAATTCCTCGCCACCAACCTCGCCTTCCACAGCGAGCCTGTAATACCCCTAATTTTAAAAAGGATATTCCTAGTATTTAATGGTATTTAATTTATTATTTAAGTGCATTTTATTTTATTATGTGTCATTATTTTTTTTTATTTGGTGCTTAATTATTTTCTTTTGTGGTGATTTAATTTATTTAAATGATATTTATTTTTAGTTATTTGATTGGAATTACTTGTTAGTGTTTTAATTATTTAATTGGCATTAATGATTTAAATGTAATTGGTTTAGTTATTTGATTGGAATTACTTGTTAGTGTTTTAATTATTTAATTGGCATTAATGGTTTAAGTGTAATTGGTTTAATTATTCTATGTGTGTCTTATTTTATGTGTGTCTTATTTGGTTTAATTGGGTTTACTAATTATTATTTTGTTCAATTAGATTATTTGTTAAGTATTTAATGGTGAATAGGGTAATTAGGTAAATACATCTAACTAGGGTTTTAATTATAGTATAAATTAGGGTTTTATATTGTAGCCGTCGTAGGTTTCTACGTTAATTGGATGGGCCGGTTAGGATTGTGAGTTGGACTTAAATGAACCTAGGGTTTAGGAAAACTCTATAAGTATAAGGTAGACGTCTGTGTAGGGTTTTTTTAAACAAAGCACACGTTTTGTGGAAGTGGAGAAGGAAAAACGCAGTTTTTCACATTCTGCCAAGGTTTGATCAAAGCTCCGATCCCGCTTCGTCCGTGGTCCGATCGAGCTGAATTTTGGAGAAGAGGTTCATGACTCAGTGACGCACAATCTGAACGGTGGAGATCAGAGTTTGACCTCTGGAACAGTAATTCGTACTCGTGAACAGTAACTGGGTCGCACAGGTTTTTTCCATTCTGCCCAGATTTCATCAAACATCCGATCCCGCTTCGTCCGTGGTCCGATCGAGCTGAATTATGGAGGAGAGATTCACGACTCAGTGACGCACAATCTAAATGGTGGAGATCAGAGTTTGACCTTGGGAACAGTGATTCGTACTCATGAACAGTAACTGGGTCGCACAGGTTTTTTTCCATTTTGCCCAGATTTCATCAAACATCCGATCCTGCTTTGTCCGTGGTCCGATCGAGCTGAAATTTGGAGGATAGGTTCATGACTCAGTGTCGCACAATCTGAACGGTGGAGATCAGATTTTGAGTTCAGGAATAGTGTTTCGTACCCGTGAACAGTAACCGGGTTTTGGAACTCGCCGGGATTTTTTAAGAAGACGACATTGAAACTTTGAACAAAAGTTTCTGAGGCAAGATTCTATCCTTACTCTTTCCCTTAGGCTTCATACTCTTTACACTCTTAAATGATTCCAGGATTAATGAAGATTAAACCAAACTAAAATGATATCTGTTTTGCTATGAAACTGGTAGTTACAGTAGTGTTGTATGCTTGTTCAACCTAGACAAAGCATGTTTGTGGATGCATTGTGATTCTGTGGTTCACGTTTTTCCTTACCACTGCTAGTATAAATTATTGGAAGGATGGGTCTAGATGATAGCTATCTTAACTTCTGTAATAGCAACTGTTGGAACTTAAATACTAGGAGGATTTGAGTTTAACACTAGATCGGTTTTGTGGAACACTATAATTTGAGCATGTCTACATACATACTGTGAATATTGTTTTGATGCTTACATTATCACAGTTAGTATCAACTGTGGAGGTTAGGATTTTGTGATACATACCCTACATATCTGTATGTCATTTGTAAGGTGTTGAATGGAAGTTTTAATTAATTCTGTCTTTATATCAAACTAAATGGAACAACTTAAATTTGGCATGTATATGTTGTTGTTGTGACCCTGTTTATCAATGCTTATTTTATCACTGCTAACATTGAATGTTGGATGTTGGAATTTAGTTGATATATACTTGATTTATTGGTATTATTGACTACTGGAGGATTAGAAAGTAGGCACCGGTATGGGACGGTGGCATACTAAGGATGGGTTTGGTTTTTAAATCAATACCATTACCCACCTACTTGGAATAAGAATGGGATTAACTAAAAGTTAAGTCCCGTGGATTTGTATTGTCATGGCAACTACTTGTTGAGCGGCAATACCAGGGATTTTGGATGGATTTTATATATGTACTATTATGGTGCCTCGGTATGAGCTTGAGCCTCAGGACCGATGGCTAGGGAGCGTATATACATCGGGATGTGTAGCTGGCTACGATGGTTGGAGGTGTACC